AGTTATGTTAGTTTACCAGAGGGTACACATTTCAAAACGAACAATGTAATGTAAACATGGTGGATTTCCACGTCCATTATTCACATCCAATGTGTTTGTTCGTGTGGCCGAAGACTGAAGCGGAAAACATGGGTGGGTTTCCACCCCATGAACAAGTGATGTAAAAGCATCATCCTCCCTCCCTGTTGAATGGATTTTAATATAGTTTAATGGATATTAAAATGGGTATATCTAAAACATATTATGGATATTTTTAATATATTTTAATAGCATATATCTAAAGGGACATTCTATGGATATATGCTATTCTCATCTTCAGACAGACCCAAATCCACTGTGAAGACCAGCAGACCAAGGTGTTTCTGGTAAACGGTGACCCGCCGTTCGCATCAGCCATCTCTACCCGGTAGACCATGCTGAATACGATGACGCTCATTTTTTCAAAACACCATTCAACGTAGCTATTGAACATTGCCATTTATAGTGGATTTATCAATTGAAAATGGTGATTTTCCATCGTTTTTTGTATGTTTACCAGGCCGGGTAACACTTCTCAGTTAGTTTGTTGTCAAACATCCACAACCTGCACAAAATTGCACAAATCGCTGTCACTTTTCTTTGGGTCCATTCCCCTGCAGACTTTGCTTGTGAACCGTGCCTCTGGCAGGCCCCACAAAGGCCAAATTTGCGGCGACAAAGGCGACCTATTGGCATATCCCGCTGGAGCTGGTGAGCTGGTGAGGTTGGGACCCCACCATTGAAGCAGCGAAAAAAAACCCTTGATTTTGTTGACTCTGGAAAGGGTGTATGTTGAATTTTCTTTGTAGATGTTTTTGATGTGGTAAATGCAATAACATATTTTTGAAGGGGGGTACCTATCCCGAAATTTTGTGGATAAATTAGGTCATCTAAGTATTTCAGCAACTTGAAAAGTTGGGCCCTTCAGGGAGACAGCTACCCCGATCCAATTCCAATCATTTCAGTGACGTCCCGAATGAGAGCTCATAATGATCAGCTTCCTATGTGTAAACAATCTACTCTATCATCAGTTCCTGTCGGGCCTATCAAATGCCAAAACAACAACAAGGATAACAAGGGCTCTTTCAAACCTGTGCTCTCCTAGAGCCATCTCCCAGTTCTGAAAGCCATCAACACTGCGTTTCACAGTACATCACAGTACATCTTTTGACATCACGCCTACTCTGCAATCACACACATAATACAAACCGACTCTGTTCGCCTGCACCCACGCATGCATCATGAAGTGTGTGACATGTCGCAGTCCCAGTGGCAATCAGCAGCACCTTCAGCACCAAGCTGCTTCGTCGTGGAACGGCCATGCTTCGGGTGTCTTCACTGAACTCTCAGTCGGTCGAAGATCACAAGAATCACAACTCAGACGGTGCCAGCATGCTGGATGAAAAAGTGGGTTTGGTAAAGAGTTGATAAATCATCTGCAAATCTCAATGGTGTGAGCTGCAAACGCTACATGGGCAGCCAGCAAAACCTTCAAGGATGTGAGTGCTTCAGCTTCGTCTGTGCGCGGGTCATCTGTCACGCCAACAATGCTAATGGTATGTTCCATTCATATTCCATAAAAATATTCCACTACTCATATTCCATCAATATTCCATGAACATACCAAATGAGTCTATTCTTTAATGGTAGACCCTGGTAGACCTTGTCAAGTTTCTACAGTGATGAGATTCTCACCTCCAAGATCTTCCAAGATTTCAGACGAAACTTCGAAAAAAACGCCTTTCTGCTTCGCATAGATCACTTTCAGCATTGGCCTGGCGATGGCCAGGAACGAGCCTACAACACATAGATGGGCCCCCGCCAATGCTAAACACGGTCATCGATTTTTATTACGGGGCATTTTGAAAAAAGGGTGCCCCTAATATTCCAATGAAAACCCTAATAATAAAAATTAAAAACTCGACTTCGAATGTGAATAAATCCCTTGTTAAAATCTATATATATATTATATATATATATTATATTGCCAAAAACTGGATTTCGCAGCTTTCCCCTAATATTCCAATGAAAACCTTACTAACAAAAATAAATAAACTCCAGTTCAAATTTGATTAAATTCCTTATTAAAATCTAGATAAAATATGGCCAAAAAACTAAATTTCGAAGTTTTCCCCTAATCTTCCATTGAAAACTCTAATAATAAAAACAAAAACTCGATTTCAAATTTGATTAAATTCCTTGTTAAAATCAATTTAAAATATTGCCAAAAACTGGATTTCGAAGCTTTCCCCTAATATTCCAATGAAAACCTGTGGGATGGGACCCTAATGAAAAACCTCCAGGTACCATTCTATTTTTATTAATAGGGGGTTGAACCCATTGTTTCACCATGCTGTTCTCCTATTGATTCAAAATTACCACAACTAAGAATCCAATTGTAACCAACCCAAAAAAAAACAGAAGTGCCAAACCAATCCTATTTTTATTGGGGGAGTTTAGTATTTATGATGAAATTATTAGATGAACAAAATTGACACCAGAATCGACCAAAAAAGGTGGATCCCATCCCTTAACGGTTAGAATCCTATGTGATGTGAATTGGAGGTTTTAACAAAACAAATGGTGAGTTTACCTGCTAGAGGTTGGATATGATATGATACCTGATATGTTATAATATGCTTCAAATCTTGATTCATGAATATACTCTCGCAAAGCCCGATCATAACAAAACCCAAAATTTGGGAACCCCTGTGCATGAAAATCGTATTGTGAGAGGGTGCTCTATGTCATTCGGGGGAAGGAATCATGCCCCAACAACCATTGTTTCTATGCGGTTTGTATATACATATTTATTTTTGACGTCTTTGCTGTCTGTACGTAGATACCTTTCTTAATATGTAGATAACAAAATATTTATATGTAATAGTATAATATGTATATATATATGCAAATAAAGATAAGAAATAGATAGATCGATAGATCGATAGATTGAAAGGCTAGATTAGATAGATTTGATAGATTAGATAGATTAGATATATTAGAAAGATTAGATATATTAGAAAGATTAGAAAGATTGGATATATATATATATATATTAGAAATATTAGAAAGATTGGATATATAGATTAGATAAATTAGAAATATTAGATAGACTAGATAGATTAGGCAGATCAGATCAGATAAGATAGACAATCGATAGATAGACATACAGATAGATGGATATAGTGAGAGAGAGAGAGAGAATGAGCGGGTGAGGGACATATTGCCTTGCATGAACTTTCTACTGCTTCGTGGCTCCCGCTTGGCTCCCATCTTGGCTTCAACTTTATTTACCTTCCGGCGCCTTGTCTCCGTGGTTGAACTTCGCAAACCTCAGAAGGCTCCCAAGGTGAAGATAGGTGAAGTGTAGAAAATATCAGGAAATGGTCGAAAGTCACTAGAAACAGGTCATTTTCAAAGTTAGCAAACTGGAGAATCACCATTTTGACGAGGCGTTCATATTCTATGCGCCATTTTCACCTGGCAGCTAAAAAACAAAATCCTCGTTGAATCAACCGGTAAATCAGCGAAACAAGGATTTCAGGCTCTATATTTTTTTTAACCAGGGGGTATATAGTGGATTGATCTATAATTTATAAACCATAGTTTTTAGATTAGGTATATACCCCCATAAATATAGTTATGGAACAAATAACCAGAGTTATGGAACAAATAAATGCGTTAACCATAGTTATAAACCATAGTTTTTATAAAACATAGATAGTTTTTCTGTTAACCATAGTAATATCAGCATTTATAAACCATAGTTATGGAACAAAAAACCAGAGGCTACCCATCATCGCCACGCCCGCCAGGCGCTGAGGGCCGATGCTTGACCGTCCTGACGGGTCGGCAGATTCGGTGGCGATAGCCCCATATTTTCCAGTAGTCATATGCGGGGAGCTTTCCTTTATGTGATATGTATATATATACACGTAAATATCAAATATATATATATACATGTATGTATATATATATATATACATATATATACACACATGTATGTATATATATACATATGTATACATACGTATGTGTGTATATATATATGTGTGTGTGTGTATTATTGTAGTATTAGATAATGGGATATCTAACCAACTTAAGATGCCGTGGGTCCGAAAATGGGAGAGCCGAAATGTCCGAGTGTCCTCCTTTTGACTCACAATGTGGGCCCACCAGTGATGTAAACGTTGGTTTATAAACGCCACGAACTATAGTTATAGTATTCAATAGGTATGATAACTATAGTTTAATAACTAGCTATGGTTTATAAACAATAACTATGATTGAAGATATCTTTAAATTATCATAAACCATAAGTTATTGTAGTTATAGACGAACATAGCTATCGTTCGCGGGTCCACTTTGCAATGGCTGTTGGTTGAATAATCCCAACGGTCGGCTCAATCCTCGGTTGATGAAATCCCAATTTCTGTTGCTGGACTCCGCGTGCTGGGACCCCGGTTCGTTAGCTAAGCTGACGCAAAGAAGTAGGTTAATGGTTGGGTTTATAAAGGATACAACTATAGTTAGATGGGCAGAAAAAACCAACTTACAAGTAGCAGGCCCCTTCCTGTGGTTAGTTAAAACCCAATTTCAATCTCAGCCTGTCATGATTTAGTGCCAATTCTGTGTCAATTGCTGGTTGATTTGTCATATTTTTTTTCATCAGTTTCTGGCGGTTAGAGCCAACTTTGGGGTGATTGACACACAACAGTTGTTGGTTAACTCCATATTTTTGGTAGATTCACCCCATGGCTCCTTCCTGGCTGCTCGAAATCCAGTTCTGTTGGGGCGAACAAGTTGAAACCCAATGGTTGTTGGTCTTATATCATACATATATATATATATACATACATATATATATATACATATACATATACATATACATAATCATATATATATATACACATAATATAATATATGTATATATATATATATACACATATATCCCATGATACATATATCCCATCGCTCCAAGTGTCGGCTCACGAAGCTCCACCAGCTCCGCCGCACGACGGAACTGCGGCGCAAAGGCTTGGCTGTCGGCACACCTGAGATCCCAAAAAAAACGACTGGTCAACTGGGAATATGATGGGAATATGATGGGAATATGATGGGAATATGATGGGAATACGATGGGAATATGATGGGAATATGATGGGAATATATAGTTGGAATGTATAGTTGGAATATCTATGGGTATTGATATGGGTATAGTGATGTATAATGACTTAGATGTGGTGATAATTGGATTTTTTGGGTGGATTTAGTGGGACAATGATCTGATTGGTGGTTGAGCAACCTCTCTGAAAAATATGAAAGTCAGTTGGGATGATGACATTCCCAACTGAATGGAAAAATAATCCAAATGTTCCAAACCACCAACCAGCGCTGGGAATATGATGGGAATATGATGGGGATATATAGTTGGAATAGAAAAATTGACCAACAACACAACAGAATCACCAGAACTGGTGAATAAACACTGGTAACATGGGAACTTAACCAACTTTTAAGTAGGAATTGATGATGTTTAACGATGGGGAATTTAACCAACAACACAACAGGTCAACTGGGATGGGGATTTAATTCATGATTCATATTGAATGGGAATATAGTTGGAAAAAAAGTGAAATTTAACCAACAACAGCTAGGATTTGATGATGTTTGGGGGGATATCGTTGGACAAAAATACACCCTCTGGTAATTTGTTACAGCGAACTGGAAAATCACCATGTTATTTTTATGGGTAAATCAACTATTTCTACGGGCCACTTTCAATAGCTAGGTTAGTTTACCAGAGGGTATATCATATTATATCCAAAGGTATATCCCATTATATCCGGTATTAACCATGATTAATAAACCATTATTAACCTCTACTAAGAGGTGTCCTCATATGGCTGTCCAGCGGAAAATGTTGCGAAACTCCAGGATTTGTCCTGGATTTTCCACGTGTTGAATGACCGGCACCGGCAGGTGACCAGTTGCGATGACAATGGGGTGATCGAAGTGGCTTTCACCATCAAAATGTATCCTCTGGTTGGTGGTTTCAACCTACCCCTCTGAAAAATGATGGAGTCAGTTGGGATGATGACATTCCCAACTGAATGAATGGAAAGTCATAAAATGGCTGTTCCAAACCACCAACCAGATATCTTCTGGTCTAACAGTTTGCTATGGAAAAGCACCAGATTGAAGTTCCCTAAATCAAGGACCTTTTTTTCAACGGGCCATGGCTTCCACAGCTATTTTACCAGGGGGTATCTGGGATTTATGGATCTTTATCCCTCTAAATATGTAAATTTTGTAGCTATTTATAGCTATTGATCTGTAGTGCTCATATGTTGATATCCACTTTTGGCAAGTTTAATTCACATGTCTGTTGGTAAAACAATCTGATTTGTGGGGCAGTCTGAAAATATATGAATTTGATGTTGGTGTTCATTAAAAAATGGTCTTTTGGTGGTATACCCTGTCGTTATCATCTCATATGATGATTTTGGGTATAATTGGTTTAACATCATGTCAATCATCCATGAATGCAGGGCTTATGTAATGCTGTATAATATGAGATAATAATGGTTTTATATTGGTGGTATAATTTCAAGCCATTGATGATAAGTAATTATACTTGCTAAATGGCTTCTTCTTTTGCGTGTCTATCTACATACACCTACACCAGTACAGCAGATACAAAGATACAAGTACGAACTCAAACAAATGTTGCGTGCGCTGACGGGTAGCACTAAAAGTCAATGGTCAAGAAGCTTAGATGGCATCACAATTGATCAGAAAAGTCACATTCAGAGTCCCATCATGTCCCATCATAAAATCGTCACATGTCGAGCGTTTCACATTCAAAATCGTCACTCTGAAAGGCCCCTGCCAATGTGCATAGACCATCAAGACCGTGATGGGCTGAATGGCCTGGAAAACAGGAATTCCCTAACAGTTCAAAGATGTTCCGAACTGAGATTCCGTCTGAAAACCAAACTTTCATGGTTCAGTGTTTCAGCATCCGCCAAATCCTCCAGAGTTGACGTGTTTTGAGTCACTGTATGTCAAATTGTGAAAACTTGGTGCCCCAAATATCTGGATAATGTTCATAATTCCCTTGAAACAAGGCTATTTTGGGATAGTTGCCCCAATCCAATTTCATCATTCCAGTGACGTCGCGGTAATGTTGTTGTAATTTCTTAGCGAAATCTTTGGTGGGACAAGATCACTTCACTTGATCCCCAACGTGCCGCAAACATCTTGATGTGTTGTTGACATTTTCCCCGCCATTTCTTGTGACATATTGTATACGTATGTAGCACCTATTCTGACATATCTTCTGTATCATCTGAAATGTTCGGCAATATCTATTCTGACATATGTTCCGACACTTTCTCTGGCATATATTCTCTGCCAGTTTTACTGACAAGTTGGTTATATCATATATACATATCTATCTATATGTATTATGATTATATATGTATGACGGTTTGTCACAATGACTTCTTCTGGTTTGGTTGATAAGTCGTAATTCCACTATGACTTATCTAAATATTCTGAAACCCTGTATTTTATCATTCATGTTTGAAACCGTTGCTAAAAAAACCGCAGCAAATGCTAACGCACGTCAAATATGGAATGGGTGCCGCTAGAAATGAGTTGTCGGAGCTTTCTTGGAGGTCTGGGAGGAGCAGGAGATGGGAAAAACCCGGCGTTGCCATGAAGCTTTCTTTTGGCATCGAACATCATCGAACTCCATTGATCATTGCCAATCTTAGATCCGCAAAAAAAAGTCTAAGCTGGTGAGTAGATATTCCTATTGATTCAAGGATTGAACTATCCATCCGGTTGACCTGGTTATCTGGTGTTTCCACATATGTTCCCTATGATTTTCGGATGAAAAGCTCCATTTTCTTCGTGGTGCCGCAAGAAAAAACCGCCGATCCGCACCAGGAACTGCTCCACATTCCTCGCATGGAGTGTGACCACCTGGCTCCAATGCTGGTTGGTGGTTGAGCCACCTACCATTGTGGATAATATACTGTTAACAATGGTTAATCATGATGGTTATTATATGGTTAATGATGGTTAATTATAATCTGGTTGGTGGTTGACCTACCCCTCTGAAAAATGATGGACTTCGTCAGTTGGGATGATGACATTCCCAATATATGGAAAAATAATCCAAATGTTCCAAACCACCAACCAGAATGGATATAACTATGGTGATAATGTCCATACGTTGGGATATAACCCCAACAGAGCTTTGCATGTATATCCACCTCCTTCTAACTGGAACCGCATCCTTTAGCTGGCGAAACTCGTCCCTTTGTTGTTTAAACTTACATAAATCTTCGTGTTTATACCCTTGTCTATGCTTATCTGATCATCTTGATGTTGCATTGATCCCTTAAGAACAAAATATATAGTAAAATGTAAACGCATTTTCCTGATTACCTTCTGACTGAATAGAAAATCCAGAAAATCCCGACACCAAAGGCTCCATACCCATAGCTCCAAGTGGAGTATCCCACTCATCAATTGAAACATCTGAATAAATTCTAATTCATTCACCTGAAATGTCTGACTTTGAGATAGTCTCCCCTTACTATCATATTCTATCATTCCAGAGAGAACGATGAGGTCGTTATATTTGCTCAGAATAATCCCACTTAGATTTGCTGGGATGATTTGTATATAACAACCTATAACGTTAATAAATCCCGGACAATTTACACAGAATAATCCCACTAACCCAGAATAATTTGCCAGGGCTAGTCACCTGTTTTTCGTGGCATTCCAGATCTTCCGCACCTTCGAATTGCCTGGCTCCGGAATGCCCGCCAGCAGATTTCGGGGCCCTGGCAGAGCAAGGGCCTCACGGGTTTTCCAACGGATGGATGAGGTGGGCGTTCTCAGCCAAAATGGACCCATCCAAAAATCTGGAAATTGTTTGATAAAGACAGGAAAGTTGGTTTTTATGGCGCCCAAAGAAGGAAAAAATAGGAAGAATCCCGTCTCCTGAATATATGCAAAAAACTCAGAGTTCTAACCCAAGTCATGAACAGATCCAATACCAAACAGGTTTTCGTTTTTAGGAAGGTATCCAATATATATACATTCTAATGTGAGGGGAGCAAAGTTCTTCTGATCAACCCTTCTTGCACTGACAAGTTTCTCAAATGAGGATACATCGAGCAAACTTGGTGAAGCGGCAAACATGAGTCACGACCCAAAGAAAAGTTGTTCCTAATATCAATCTGACTCCTATGTTTACATCACTGAATGTGTCTTCCGATCAAATCTGGGATCCAATAGTTACATGTACCAGCAAAAATCCTGAATCCCAGTAAATTTCCCATCAATTTTTTGAATCCCCGTCAATATCTGGATTAAATAGGGATTATATAAAAATATACATATATACATATATATATATACATATATATATATATATACATATATATATATACATATATATATATATATTTGTGTATATATCCGCCGACCCCGGCCCTTGCCATGGCCGGGGCGGCGCCTGGGACCACCTTTGGTGTGGACCTTAGCTTTTCCCGATCTATGCCTCGATTGCTTCCACTGCCGTAGCATTCCGCTTGCCATCCCTGCAAACGCTCCGGGGCACCACCTCTGGCTCCGCAACTTACCGCCCCGAAACTGCCGGACACACCCCGCCCTGGGCCCACCGGACGCTCCAAACCCTTCGCGGCAGCACCTCTATTGTACCGCTCCGCAACTGCCGGACACACCCCGCCCTGCTCCCACCGAACCCTCCAACCCTTCGCAGCAGCACCTCTTTTGTACCGCCTCGAAACTGCCGGACACACCCCGCCCTGGGCCCACCGAACGCTCCAAACCCTTCGCGGCAGCACCTCTTTTGTACCACCCCGAAACTGCGAACGCTCCAAACCCTTCGCGGCAGCACCTCTATGTACCGCTCCGCAACGTACTGCCGGACACACCTCGCCCTCGGCCCACCGAACCCTCCAAACCCTCCGCGGCAGTGCGTCTGGCCTAAATATAAACTGCCGGACACACCCCGCCCTGGGCCCACCGAACCCTCCAAACCCTTCGCGGCAGCACCTCTTTTGCACCGCCCCGAAACTGCCGAACACGCCCCGCCCTGGGCCCACTCGAGACCCTCGCGGAGTCTCCAACCCATCTCACCTTGCCACCATACATGGGGGCGACTGGATGGCCACAGGAACCTCCAAGGCCGCCATGGTGCTCAGTCAGATCCGCCAGGACCCCCTATCAAATGGCTGCAGAGGCCAGCCCCCCTTGAAAGGGGGTCGGCGGCACCCGGGCGTTAGCCCATTTATATAGTCATTAATACACCATTAATATGTGTTGATATCCCATTAAATATGTTTATATGGTTAATATTCCCCAATCATGGTTGATTTTGATAGGGATCACATGCCAATCGTGTCTTTTTTGCACCTTCTGAAGATCCTTCTCAGCTGTCTTTCGGTCCAGTTCTCTTCTGTCCTGCAGCTTGTTCTCAGTTCCCAATATCTCAAGAGATTGATTTTTTGGGGAACTGAGAAAAATATAGAATCAGTTCCCAAAAAAAACAAAGTTCCCAAATATATCAAATAGATAAGTCTTTTTCTAGATAGCCCAAATATCTCAGTTCCCAGAGTTTTGAATCTATAGTTCCCAAACGTTCCCAGTATCTGCCTGCGATGATTCCATGAACTCCATGTGGGCATGATTTTTGCTACCCAAATTTATCCTGATACTGGGGATTGGCGATTTTTGGGTAACCACATTACCGCAATTTGGGGTATATTTGAAGTTATAGATTTGCATGAGAAACATTTATACGTATACACATATGAGTCTGGTCCCTGGACCCCCAGAGCGCCCCCCCAAAAGGTATGGTGCCCACCCCCTCCCCCTGCTTGCAGCATTTGGGAGGCACCGCCTCCCATTTGTATTTACAACATTTGGGAGGCATAGCCTCCAACGTGTGCACTATTTGCAGTATTTGAGAGCCACGACCTCATCACTATACCATGTCTACCATACCTGTATATTGTATTGTATATTCTTAGCGTATGAATCTAGCACATACTACCCTTATCTATTTATCTATTTATTTATGTATCTATTTATCTATTCATCTATTTATCAGTTTATCAATTTATCAATTTATCTATTTATCTATTCATCTATTTATCTATTCATCTATTTATCTATTTATCTATGTATCTATGTATTTATATATTTATATAACTATTTGGTGATCAATTTATTTATCCATGTATTTATTCATTTATTGATTTATGTATTTGTTTATTTACTGCCTATAGCGTACGTTACATATGGTTTAACACTCATTGTATGCCTGTGTGCTGCTGTATGCTACATATTTGCTACTCATAGATAATATGCTCAAATCGTACCTCTGCATAGTCTGCATACCTATAGGATCCTATACACTATAAACTTGGATGGAAATGTCCCCACCAAAAGAAAAATATGAATAGCGGCTAAATTGTTTGTTCATTTTCATGTCATGCACAAATTGGGTTCGTCCCCTATCAGTATTGGGGAGTTCTGCGTTCTTAGACTTTGAGTCGACTCATGCAAAACAGGGGAGCATATCGGTATAAGGTCGTCCCCTATCGGTAATGAAGGTTTTGCACACCCCTCAGCAAGGCCAAGGCGAAGCAAAACTAAATTAGTACTACAATAAATTTGTGGGTTATTCATATTTTCTTGCTACCTAAATATAAATATCACACGAACATATTATACACATTATATCATCACCTCCTATGTACTCCTCACACCCTACATATACGACCTACACATGTTCATGGCGTACGTAAATACGACTCTTCGCATAGTGTGTCCATATGCTGCATACATATATACTCCATATTAACTCCTTAAATACTCTCCATATCCTCCCTATAAACTGGACATCAACCGCTCACAGCTGCACAAACAATACGCATGTAGGACTGTTGTTGTTGAGCCCCCCCAGGCCACAGGGCGAGGAGAACCATTTGGGTGGGTGGGGGGGTTGTGGTGATCCCTGCTCATATATACAATTAAAACAATAGATTCTACATCTGTAATGTATGTACCAGGTAGTGCCCGGTCCTCGCCGGGGCGAAAGTTTCGAAATGTTTAACCAGCTACAGAAAATCAATGGCCTATGAGTTGCATCAACGAGTCAATGACTAAGTGGAAAAACAATGAAACGGTGAGTTGGTTCAGTGAATCAATGATTCAATGAAACAATAAACCAAGTAATCAATGAACCAATGAATCAATGAATCAGTGGCTCAATGAATGACTGTACCAACGAACCAATGAATCAAAGAATCAATGGAGCAACGAAGGAATCAATTAAATGTTGAATCAGTGCACCAATGAGCCATGAATGAACCAACCAACCGATCAATGAAACAGTGAATCAAAGAAGCAACGAAGCAAAGACTCATTGAATCAATGCATCAACGAATCAAGTATTTGATGAATCAATGAGTCAATGAACCAATGGAAAAGTCATCAGTGAATCTGAAAATCAACGAGCCAGTGAACCAATGAATTATTGAATCAGCGAGTCAATGAAGCAATGAAGAACTGAATCAGTAAATCAGCGACTCAATAGTGCCATGAAGCAATGAGCCAATGAATGAATGAATGAAAGAAAGAATGAATGAATGAATGAAAGAATGAATGAATGAATGAATGAATGACTGACTGACTGAATGAATGAATGAACAAATGCATGAATGAATGAATGAATGAATGAATGAAAGAATGAATGAATGACTGACTGAATGAATGAATGAATGAATGAATGAATGAATGAATGAATGAATAAACGGATACGTGGATGGGTTCTTGGAGGAGTGATCTGCTTTTCTTTGTTTGAGCTGCTTCTTCACTGACGGACCTCTTCGCTGGCGGCCGCACGCGCCAGCCGGACCTGGCGTTTGCATCGGCGACGCGTCGGGCGTCTCGAACTCTCTCAATTTTCCCGCGCGCCTCAGGGTCCTGGCTTTGTGAGGCTTGTTGGCGCAGTTCTCTGCGCCGTTTGTTTCGGGCTTTGGTCTTTTCCTCTTGGCTTTTTCGTTTTGCCTGCCGCGGCGCCGCGGCCGCTGGCTGGCTGCATTCGCGACAGGACAGCTTCTTCCGCCGGCCGAGCCTCTGCTTGCTTCTCTTCCTCCGCCCGCTTCTTTTCTGCGCGTTTTTCTGCCGCCCGTGCCGCCCTCGTTGCCTGCACGGCGGAGCGTTGACTGTCTGTTGTTTTTTCTTTTTGTGTGTTTCATCTAGTTTCATCGGCCTCCACTGTTGGTGCATCCAGGCCAGGATGCACTGGCTTGAGGAGCAGCCAAGCGTGTAGCTCGGGGAGCCACGCTTGCACTGCATCCTCAGAAACGCCCAAGGCCTGTGCCTCGGTTAGCGCAAGTCGGTGCGCGTCGCCCTTGCCGCTCTCCTGATTTAGCGGTTAGCGGGCTGAGGCCCGCGCCAGTTGTGCTACCAGAGCTGCGCCGTTCTCTGGTAGCAACGGGTTTGGACCTCTTCTCTTGGCTACTTCTTCTCTGAGCAGCCTCTTCTCTGACCCTTCTGTGAGCTGCCTCTCAGCTACCTCTTCTATAGCTTCTGCGACCCAATCTTCTCTGCGGAGTTGTTCCAATGCTTTTAGCAACCTCCAGCTGCAATCCCGCATAGCAAGAGCGTCGCGGCATCACTAATGCTTTGCTGCGCCGTACTAATGCGTTTTGTCACAGTCGTTGCAAACCCGCATAGCAGGAGCGAGCAACATTCGCGCTAATTTAAGCCTGCTCCACAGCTGTCAGTTTTTTCCCATTTTGAAGTGCAAATCGAGCTCCCGCTACAGTCTCGTGCACTTTTTTGCCGACAACTTTCCCAGATAGAGGCCCGGAATCGCAGAAGCAAAGACCCTACTTCGGCGACCCCAGGCCGATAGTGTTTTCACTGCACCCGTGAATTCGCACTCTCCCGGACTCTTTCACGTACCAACTACTTGATGATGGGTGGTTGACATGATGATGTGGTTGGCATAATTGTGTAAATGCTAAGCGTCAGTAAGTCGGAAGTTTTCTAACTAAACTTCCTTTGAATCATGTATGTATAGACATGCAATATATGTACGTAGCTGTGTGTCTGGAGACATCCCCACTGGAAAGATCTTCCAGGCAGGAGTATAGATCTGACAAATATGGAAGTCTCATGAGTGTCACTGACAAGAATCTCACGAAGATCCGGAAACCCTATTTGAAACAAGCATGGAGGGCACCGCACCAATCTCAGGTATGATTAATGTAGTCGACAGATCTCCGATGATAAATAGAAGTCTATCCAAAGCAGAAAATACAATTGCCCTCTTCTAGTTGTTCCACAGAGGAACCAACAGAGGCTGTTCCACAGGAGTGTACTAGATGGATGGAAATTTCGTGTAGTCAGTCAGCTGTTTGCCGGCTGTTCAATTTGTAAGTACTCTATATATATATATACGTATATATTGACGTGCGCATGTCCAAAAAAATGCCTTTCCAAAACGCAGCACTTCAAGTGCAGTAGACACCCTGCGGAGTTTGGCAAGCATGCCCGTATGTGTGAACATCTGGTGCGTTTTCGTCCAAGTTGGTTACTAAAAAAAAGGGGTGTCCAAAATGCTGGACACCTCAAACGGCAATTTAAATGGCAAAATGATGATTTAGGGCACTGTATTTTCAGACAAACCCATAATATGGTGTTCTAACATGCAAATATGTTCAGACATCCCATAATCTGGGGCACCCATCATATTTTCAATCAAACCCATCTTAATATAAAATAGAATGGCGGATTCCCTGCTCAAAAACATGGCGGAAAGAACGGCACATCTGCACCACACGTGACTCCTGCTCACTGACTCGGATCACCAGCAACCGCACCGTTGCCTCACTTGGGCGTCCATTCCAAGCAGAAAGTGGTTACGACAGCAATAAACTATGTCTGTCTGTCTGTCCGACCGTCCGTCTGCGTACGTACGTACGTATGTATGTATTTATCTATCTATGTATATATATATAATTATATATATATATATGTACGTATGTATTTACGTATATGTATGTATATGTATGTATATGTATGTATATGTATGTATATGTATGTATATGTATGTAACATCCGCTTGAAAGTGATCGAATGCCAAGTTTAAGTCAGATGTGGTCGTTTGAAGAAAAAGTGGCTGTTTGAACTGTTCTGATATAGTATTCATCGAACACTACGCAAATCTTGTTGAAATAGCACTTGTTCGAGAAGGTAGTGTGCCTGTTGTTCGAAACTTGAGGTTTTTTACAGGCAACATGCACTTCTACACCAGCAACACCCACTCTTTCCCAAGCAAGTAACCACTTTTTATTCGATGTTTTGGACTGGCCCAGCAGGGGTTCGAAGGCAAAGTGATTCTTTCATCAAAAGATAGTGTTTTAAAGTGAGCGTTCAAGGATCCAGGTATGCATATATCTATGCAAGAATGTATGTATTTATGAATCTATATATGCATGTATGTATGAATGTATGCATGCATGCCTGTACGTACGTACCTATGTACGTATATGTATGTATGTATGTATGTATGTATGTATGTATGTATGTATGTATGTATGTACGTATGTACTTACGTATGTACGTAGGTATGTATTCATGCATGTATGCATGTATGCATGTATGCACTTTTATGCATGTGTGCATGTATGCACTTATATGCATGCGTGCATGTATGCATGTCAGTACGTCTGTACATCTGTACGTATGTATGTATGTGTATCTATGTGCATCTATGTGTATCTATGTGTATCTATGTGTATGTGTATCTATGTGTATCTATGTGTATCTATGTGTATCTATGTGTATCTATGTGTATCTATGTGTATCTATGTGTATCTATGTGTATCTATGTGTATCTATGTGTGTGTGTGTGTATCTATGTGCATCTATGTGCATCTATCTGTATCTATGTGCATCTATGCGTATCTATGTGTATCTATGTGCATCTATGCGTATCTATGTGTATCTATGTGTATCTATGTGTATCTATGTGTATCTATGTGTATGTATGTGTATGTACGTGTATGTATTTGTATGTATGTATGAATGTATACATGCTTGTATGTGTGTGTGTGCCTATGTTTGTACATATGTATGTACATATGTATGTATTTATGTATGTATGTATGTTTGCATGTATGTATGTATCTATCTATGTACCTATGTATCTATGTATCTATGTATCTATGTATCTATGTATCTATGTATGTATGTATGTTTGTATGTTTGTATAAAAGGTTCTGTGTGTAATTATGTCCGTGACCACTTCCCACATGGGATGCACAGAGTAGCCATTTTCCACCTCTTGAGCCACACGTCCCGCGTACGGATCTTCCATGATCTTCCCAGCTAGAGATGCATTATTAGATTCATTTATAGTAAACCTCAAAAAACGCCGAAAAGTCTTGAACCAGGTACTTAACGATGACGTTTTCCGCATGGAAATTCCAGGTGTCCATACGTTTCGGCATCTATTTTGGTGTTTGCTATACCCTCTGGTAAACTAATATAGCTATTGAACATGGCCCAGTCGAAATAGTTTATTTTCCCATTAAAAATAGTTATTTTCCATAGCTATGTTAGTTTACCAGAGGGTACTATGATTATATGGAGGTTCCCTAAATAAGGGTACCTCCCCCAAGGCTTTCAAATACTATTGATTTTCCATCGTTTTTCGTATGTTTACCAGGCCGGGTACCTCGCAGCTTGGCATCGGTCCAGCGAGGTCAACCGATGGCCAAGTCACCAAGGCTTTCACCCAGACAGGTTTTGAAACGACCATGATTACGGGTAGCCACGTGACTTAGGAAAGCTCCTCTATACCACATGTCTATGGGTATATCTATGGGTATATCTATGGGTATAATTAGTGATGTATGGTGCCTTAGATATGGTGATGATTTGGTATCTACGGGGATTTTTTGGTGGATTTAGTGGGACAATGACTGGTTGGTGGTTGACCTATCCCTCTGAAAAATATGAAAGTCAGTTGTGATGATGGCATTCCCAATATATGGAAAAATTAAAAATGTTCCAAACCACCAACCAGATGAGATATGATACAATGGGATGTAATAAAATATAATAACTGGGTGTATTCGGTGTATTGACAAATGTGTTTTAAAAAATGGCAAGACCCACCATTCATTGAACCCGAGGGCCCTGTTTCTGGTCAAGGTTTTTCTTGCAGGAACGCACCCGTTTTTGAAATGAGATACCCTCTGGTAAACTAATAGTTTGCAATAGAAAATGGCCATTATTTATACACTTGATGTACAATAAAAATGCGTTTTTTCCTATATGGGTTTGTCAACACGCTACCCCACATTAATAATTTGTCCCATGATGCACAGTGTCATCGGTCTTATGGGACCCAGTTGGGCCATCAGCAAACCAACTTCCAAATTTCACATTGCCAATCTTAGATACAAAAAAACAAATTCTTAGATAATTCTTAGGTTATATAATGTTATATTATGTTATATATTAGATAATCCCATTGATACCCATCCAGACTAGGATTAGTTTGTACCCATCCGTTAACGCTTCACCGATCCACCAGGATGCTGAGTGCTTCAATTCTTCCACCATTTTGCTGGAATTTCCAATGATCCGATTCACCTCCAAGCGGGCGCCGTTTGCGCCGTTTCGTCAGAAAAGACGTGGTTTTTGAACGAACCAACTTCCAAAAGGAAACTACAGAAACCATCTGGTTGGTGGTGGTTGACCTACCCCTCTGAAAAATATGAAAGTCAGTTAGGACTATTATTCCCAATATATGGAAAAAAATGCTCTAAACCACCAACCAGCCATGGTTTTTTGCTTTCACTATACAATTCCGGGGGAAATTTTGGTAAATTGTTTTTGTTTTTCACCTGTCACTAGGTCTACCGACCTTTGCGGACACCCAAGATAACCATTTTGTCCCATCTCCAAGCCATCTCCGTGCACCTCAATCAGTCGATCCCTTCGTTGGAGCGCCTTCCAGTTGAAGATTCTTGTTGGGGGAGGAATTTCTCCAAGAATAGTCCAATATCTGAAGATGTATACTACATATTGGATGAATTAATATATGAATACAAATATAGATACCAGTAGTACCGCACAAGGCGGTGGCGGAAGTTTCAAAAATAGGAAACCTATAGGAGGGAGAGGTTGGTTGTTGTGAATGACGGATGGCAGAGCGAAGCCACTGATGGATCGAAAGGTGATTGATGTTTCCTCTCTTTCTCTCTCTGTCTGTCTCTTTCTCTGACTGTTCCATGCCGCTTCTCTGCCATTTAGGTCTTTCAAGCCTAGCGGCAACATTCACCGCTGAGGTCTTTCAAGCCAAGCAGCAACATCCACCGTTGAAGAGTGCTGCAAAACTTGCTATCAATCTATCTCTCTAGCTGACTATCTATCTATCTCTCTAGCCAGCTATCTATCTATCTCTCTATCTCTCTATCTATCTATCTATCTCATCTGTCTATCAACCTATCTATCTCATCTGGCTATCAACCTATCTATCTATCTATCTATCTATCTATCTACCTATCTATCTATCTATCTATCTATCTGCAAGCTTGAAAACTAAGCAATTCTGTGAGACTTTCTCATTTTTCGACGTTGACAACATCAAAAACGAAACAATTCTACGAGACGTCTGCAGTTTTTGAACTTGACAACATCCAAAACGAAGCAATTCTGCGAGACTTCTTCAATTTTTGAACTTAACAACATCAAAAACGAAGCAATTCTGCGAGACGTCCTTCAAAAATGAAAAGTTGAGTGCAGAGCTGACGGCCTCGTACCAGTGCGTTTTGCGATTTTTCCAGTCCATCTGTCTAAACTACTGCGCCTGCCACAAAACAGTGATGCCAGGTCATACGAAGTGCTGCACCTGTCACGCAAAATGACCTCAGCAAACCGGGAGATCTGATGCTCCAAAATGCAACCCCTCTAAGGAAATCAGCGCCCGGACCTCCTAACAGCTCCGATGAACATGTCTCTTGTACTGCGCCTGCCACGGAAAATGCATCTTTGCTGATCCTCTTCAAATGTCCCACGCCTGCCATCGTTTTCGGAAATGCTACAAAACCCTCACGTTCTGCGCACTTTTGACGTGCATCGCAACTCTTAAAAGTGCTCCGAAGCTGAGGAGCTTTGTACATTTTGACTTCGAAATGTGCTTCGCGCCACAGCGGCGTGCACTTTTTCAACATCGCAACTTCCAAAAGTGGTCCGAACCTGGTGTGTTTTGTACATTATGACTTGGAAATGTGCTTCGCGCCACAACGGCGTGCAATTTTTCATCTCTCATCTGGCCAGATGGCTCCGCACCCGCGGCTTTAGCGAGCCTACTTTTCGGCCCTCCGGAGCCACAAATCATTGGAAAAACACTATGTTTCGCGACTTTCCTACATTTTCGCGCACCTGCATCTTCTTTCTTCTGACTCTTTCTCTTCTCTGATCTTCTCTCTTTTACTCTTCTCTTCTCTCTGACTCTTCCCATCTCTGCTTTTCATCTGTCCATATTGTCGGAAGTTTGACTTCTAAACTTCCTTCGATCATTGGATATCATTGGATAATGGACGAAAATCTATAAATTCTACAATATAGTTATTCTATAAGATTCTAAGATATCATTTTGTCGATTGATATATGAAATTATATGAATGTTTTGTTCGCTTCCGGTCGACTGACGCCATGCGCGCGATATCGAGTTGGTAAAAACAGCAACTGAGACATGGCGGTGTGCGATTTCACCGGGGGATTGATCTACATTTAGAATGGGTTTCCGGAACAATAAACATAGAATGGGCATTTTTTATGTCCACAGAGTGTTTTTGTTGCCATGTTTTTGGCAACCTGTCACCATGAGGTCGTGCCCCTGCCCCGAAACAAAGCCCCCGGACCTTCAGTGGTTTGAGAGCATTCCATTCAGCCACCGATCCTTCATGCACCTCGCGAAAGCCGTGAGGCGGAAGTTGATGAAAGATAAAAATTTGGATGAAATCATGTCACCGTTCATTTTTACACTTAGATATATAACTCATCCCATCCCCTTTATTTTGAGCCCTCGGTTAAACCATGGTTTTGTAGGATATAAAAAGAAAAATATGTGGAACCACATTCTATGGGGTGTTGTGCAGGACCTTGGAGACCGTTGATGGAATAGGCAACCCGGTTCTGGGACTGAAACATTGCCTCCAGTTATCAAAGGTGGCAATGGAGAATGCCCCATCTCCATTTTTGTGGGATTCCCCAGCCAGCCGCATTTGTTGTCCGGACTAGCTGTGGCGCCAGGGGTCCCGAATACAAGAATGGGATGGGACCATGTCATGTGGGTCAAAACCCTGGTGCCAAAACGGTACCCTAAAATAGTTGGTGGGATGGTTGGCCTTCCAATATGGTAATAAGAGGTTTTGACCCATCCACATATTATGTCACCAGAGTGTACACACCTTCAAGGATCAAAGGTGGAAGATGTCACTAGAGTCTGGTGATGAGACTCTCAACGCATGGGTTAACATAACCTACCCTCCAGCAAACATACAAAAAAACTGTGGAAATCTCTGTCTGCTTTCCGTTTGGAAAACGATCTACTACTACTCCTCCTACTCCTTCTCCCACTACTGCTGCTACTGCTGCTACTCCTACTACTGCTGCTACTGCTGCTGCTAGTACGAGTAGGAGTAGGAGTGGGAGTAGGACTAGGACTAGGAGTAGGAGTAGGACTACGAGAAGGAGTAGGAGTAGTAGTAGTAGTAGGAGTAGGAGTAGTAGTAGTAGTAGTAGTAGTAGTAGCAGTAGCAGGAGCAGGAGGAGCAGGAGGAGCAGGAGGAGCAGGAGGAGCAGGAGGAGCAGGAGGAGCAGGAGTAGCAGGAGGAGCAGGAGTAGCAGGAGTAGCAGGAGTAGCAGGAGTAGCAGGAGTAGCAGGAGTAGCAGGAGTAGCAGGAGTAGCAGGAGTAGCAGGAGTAGCAGGAGTAGCAGGAGTAGCAGGAGTAGCAGGAGTAGCAGGAGTAGTAGCAGTAGCAGTAGTAGTAGTAGTAGTAGTCGTAGTGGTAGTGGTAGTGGTAGTTGTAGTGGTGGTGGTGGTGGTGGTAGTAGTTGTTGTTGTTGTTGTTGTGGTGGTGGTGGTGGTGGTGGTGTGGTAGTGTGGTAGTGTGGTAGTGTGGTAGTGTGGTAGTGTGGTAGTGTGGTAGTGTGGTAGTGTGGTAGTGTGGTAGTGTGGTAGTGTGGTAGTGTGGGAGTGTGGTAGTGTGGTAGTGTGGTAGTGTGGTAGTGTGGTAGTGTGGTAGTGTGGTAGTGTGGTAGTGTGGTAGTGTGGTAGTGTGGTAGTGTGGTAGTGTGGTAGTCGTAGTAGTGTTGTAGTAGTGGTAGTAGTGGTAGTAGTGGTAGTAGTGGTAGTAGTGGTAGTAGTGGTAGTAGTGGTAGTAGTGGTAGTAGTGGTAGTAGTGGTAGTAGTGGTAGTAGTGGTAGTAGTGGTAGTAGTGGTAGTAGTGGTAGTAGTGGTAGTGGTAGTAGTACTATTGAAAGTACTAGTACTAGTACCAGTACTAGTCCTGCTGTTTCTGCTCTTGCTGCTGCTACTCCTGCACTACTGCCACTACTGCCGATACTACAGCTACTAGTACTGCTAATACTGCTAGTACTGCTAGTACTGCTAGTACTGCTACTACTACTACTACTACGACGACGACGACGACGGCTACTACTGCTACTACGGCCACTACAGCTACTAATGCTACTCCTGCGACTACTGCTGCTACTGCCACTCCTGCTACTACGGCTACTACGGCTACTCCTGCTACTACTGCTACTCCTGCTACTACTGTTATGTTTTTGTCTGGTGTTTTCATGATGGATATTCCATAGCCTATAGCTATGTTGCTGGAGGGTAATTACATAGATTTTTCTCAAGATTACGAAGGTGCAAATCTGGTGTCCATAAATGTGGGTACCCCAATTGCTGGATAGTTTGTAATGGAAAATCCGAAAATTAAATTTGTGTTTTGGGGATACCCCCATTTCAGGAAACCTCCATATAAAGATGTACAAATGTAATACAGCACTCTTCTTCGCGACCCCGACCCACAACTGCGACCCGGCATTCCATGGCCTTCTCGACTTCAAGGTAGTCACTGCGGAGTATCACATCCTCAAGCTGACCGATGGAACATTTGCCAGGTTTAATCAGCACATCATCTACACAGAATGGTGATAAAACAATAGAATCCACCATCCCCAATGTTACCATTCTTATGTGTGCTATAAATTATCAAAATATGGAGGGTTTATTACTGCAAAAACATGCCTTTTTGTGTCCATTTTAGATGGCTATGGTAGATTTCAAGATGCCGATTTCAACTCCAAGCACCAAGAACAGTTCTTGATGAGGACTTCACGGAAGCTTCCGGAGCCGGGAAATCCTATTTGAAAAAAGGGCTTTCAATGGGAAATCCTCCATAAACCAGCGATTTTTCCAGTGATTCGCGGAGGATATCGGTGAAACTTCAACGAATGTGTTTGGGTTATCCCCATAGACAGATTTACCTGGCTCGAGCCAGGATTGACGTCTCTTGAGCATCTGGATTCTGTACCAATCCCGAACTGGGGATAATTTTCCGGATATACCAGGACAATGTCAACCGATTAACCGCCTGGTGCTGAAGAAAAAAATTGGGTTCATCCCCGCTCCGTTAAGGACGGCCCTCCACAGGTAGGTGTGTAACTGCTGGCAGAAAAACATCGAAGTCAACAAAACATATTGAAATCCATGAAATCAAGCCCAAAGCCCTAAGCTGGTTTGTGAAAGCCAGTAACTACTTCGATAACAGTGCGATATTTCTACCATAAATCCGATGATGGTTAGAGTTGTTACCCACCTGAGCGGTGTTACCCAAAATCTCATTCCAGTTTATCCAGAGTTGGTTAAGAACTTATGATAATCCCCAATATAGAAAGAGTACTATAAACATCTATAAACTATAAATCCTGAAAACAAAAAATGAACCAACCATCATTCAATTAAACGATATCTATTTATATATATATACATATATATGTATATGTATAATTTCTATATGGGGGTTTCCATAAATGGTGGGTACCCCAAATGGTTGGTTTATAATGGATAATCTTATTAAAATGGATGATTTGGGGGTACCCCTATTTCAGGAAACCTCCATATATGTTTTATGGTCAATACCGCTGAGATGATATCATGAGACTCCCGGCAAAGCCCACTTTCTCGTGTAGATCCTGGCCGGACATGGAGGTTTTTAAGCATCAAAAATGATGCTTTGATCAGAATTATAAGGTAGTTGTTGTGCTTTCAAAAATGCAGAGATTTGCTTAGTCGATAAATTGGTTGAAGGGGAACTTTACAAGAAATACCATGGTTCTTACCTCTAAATATAGTAGCCTCCTGCTGATCTTCCCTTAGACCAATTCTGGGACATGCAGGTTGGGACCAACCCAGAGAAAATATTGGAAGTACAAAAGCACCGAGAGGACTGGGCAATGAGTCATCGTGCTCTTCAGAAAATGTTGGGTATGGATGAGAATCGATGATCTGAAAATAGGGTACCCCCCCCCCAAAAAAAAAAAAATGTGTCATCATCATGTAGCCATGGATGACGACTGGGATACCACCATGACTTAGGAAACGCCCATTATATCCCACTATATTCCCATAGTGTTGGTGATATTCCAATACATTCCCACTAAATCCTCACAAAAATCCCATAAATCCCTAAATCGTGTCCCATTTTCCCCCCTTGGTTTTTCGCTCCTTTTTTTTGAACTCCACCCTGAAGAAAGATGCCTCGGTCGCTTGCCGCGTCCATAAGAGGCTCCAACTTGTCGGGAAATATTGCAATGCTTTATTAATCTTTATTGTAGCCGATGATCCATTAACAATATTGCTATGATATACCATATACTATAATCACGGATGCAATATTAATGGTTATTAATGGTATATTAATGGCATCCAAATCACGGATATTGCAAGTTCTACCATTAATAATACAATTAATAACCGTGAATTTCTACCGGATCTAGCGTTAATACCACTAATAACTCCAATCTCTGACACCCTGACAGCCCTCTGCCCCCTGCTGCTCCGCCACAGGATGTTCCAAATCTTCGAGGTAATCCTCCGAAACCAGCGAATTTTTTGTGGTCTCCTGTGGATATGGCCCTTTTGGAGAAAGTGGTGGACTATACTTTTTGCATGTTTACTCTAAAATGATGAAGAAACTTACAACCCCCAACAAGATAGAAAGTAAAATCCTACTAAGTTAGTGGTAACTGACTTTGGTATCCCTTTGGGTTTGTCCAAGGAAACAGAACCAAAGCCTAAACCATCGAAGGCATGAGTTGAAGACACACAAAAATCTTAAAGTCTTAGAAATCAACAGAACCCTGCAGCAGAGGGCAGAACCGGTGCAAGCACGCACATGTTGATTTTCAAACTGCATAATTATACTATTAGATGATATACGATTAAACGACATAATTTTAGATAATATACTATTGGATACAGTATGGTTTGAAATAGTTAAAATAGTTGTTGTGATCATCTAATAATCAATGGTAAACCGTACTGTGTCTAATAGTATATCATCTATATACTGTAATCACTACTGAATCACGATTTTCATAATACTAGTTATTATACTATTAATAATGATAAGCATGATGAAGTACAGGATGGGCCCCCCCAGTTATAAGTTTGTTTATAAACCCCATTAACTATAGTTAACTATAGCTATTTATAGTTATCTATAGCTATATACACCATAAACCATGGTTAAGCCACTTATAAGGCAACTTATCTTGGGGGGCCCATCCTGTATGGTAAAGCACACTACCTGCCTGCTGGCACCCGTTGGGACCGGTCGTCTCCTTCTGGCAGAGCAGCAGGTTGAACTGCCTCCGCTCGAGGACGCAGTTCATGGGTTTAAAAAAGTTGCATATGGATCATATGGAATATTTCTTTAATATATGAAATATTATGGGATTATCTGTTTTATACAATATATTTCTTGAGAGAAAAAAAAGCTGAAATAAGGCTATATCGGGACAATTCCGCTTACTTACCATGAATCCAGTGAAATGCTGCGGTCAGGGGCCTTAGCATGATCTTGCACAGGTCCTTGTGACAAGATCTTGTGGAGTTCCTGTTGAAATCCTCCTCAAGAGGTCATCGCATTAAGACCTTGCAAACGCTCTGCGCCGGTGCTTGTATGAAAGTTCTTCTGGGATGCTCATAGGGAGTTCTTGTATAAAGATCTTCTAAGATCCTCTATATCAAAGGTCCTTGTTTGAGCTAACGCCGCCAACAACGACGCGTTTTTTTTGCTTTTTTTTGCATTCTTGGGGTTGGGGTGGTGTTGGGTGGTGTGGTGTGGTGTGGAGTGGTGGGGTGGGGTGGGGTGGTGTGGGGGGTGGCGTGGGTGGTGTGGTGTGGTGTGGTGTGGGGTTTTGGGGTGGGGTGGGGGGCGCACTGACGTTCTTTATCAAACTCGTCATTGACTTGCACAGCAAGTTGACGCTTCGCTACAAGATCCTCTCTTGCACTTGCACAGCAACTTGACAAGATCCTCTCTTGCACTTGCACGTTCTCTTGACGCTACGCTACATTTTTTTTGCGCTTGCACAGCAACTTGACGCTACGCTACAAGATCTTCTCAGCAAAAGACCTTGGCCGCCACGGCAAAAGAAGGCCATGTCAACCAAGCCCTTTGGGACCGGACGTACAGTTGGCAGTGGCGCTTCAATGTTGCCAAGGATTGGTGGTCTGCATTGCCACAAGCGATGGAACACTTGAAAGAAGCTGTTGGCCAGCACAGACCGCATAGAAAGGAGAAGTGAGTTGGCATGATCATAATGTCAATGGGAAATTCAGGATCCTAAAATGGAGGTACGGTACCATATAAAGCCATATTTTGGGTGTATATCCCCTTACATAGCCCTGAATCATAGGCCTTATATATGGTAGATACCTCCAATTCAGGTACCTGAAGTGGCCATTGATCATGTTAGTCATGATTATAATCATCATAATGAAACTAATTTCAAATTATGAAGAAGATGTTCATAATGATCATTTGACTTCTAGCATGATCATAATGTCCATGGTGCTTAGTAGGGAATGGATGGGAATGGGGGTTGCTGGGATGATCTGCTTGAAAGTTATTGTGGAACATTCCCATCCGTTCCCTACGTTTAGCACAAGTAAGTGTCATAATGTTGATTATTATGATCATAAACAGAAGATTATCTAGCTAGATAATCTTCTGTTTATGATCAGTCATCAACAATTATTTGTAGTCATGAACATTATGGTCATTATGACTACAAATAATTATTGAATTGAACATTTAAGTAAACATTGCTATTTGTTAATCATTATGATCATATGTTTTTAATGATCATTTGTAGTCATGAACATTATGATCATCTAGTCTTGAGAGTTTCCAGTCTAGTAAGGTTCTATAAATCAAGGTTATCAAATTTATCCAGTACCTCAGCAGGCTGGGCAGAAAGTCTCAAATCTAGTCATGGATAGTTGATCAAAAAACGATGGCTCCAATTATTAACATTAAATTTATGGGTTACTTGGAATAATAATTGATCATCTACTTGGTGGCTCATCCCACTTAGAAAGTGGGTTATAACCCCAGTGATTTACATGGGATAAGTAGGGTTAATCCACTTACTAAGTGGGATGAGCCACCAAGTAGTCACGGAGCCATGGAGCCCAAAAAAACCCTCCGGAGCCATGGAGCCCGGCTCCTAAAACCCGGCGGAGCCCGGCCTCAAGGCTTGCCGCCAGCCTCGCGGCAAGTTTCGCGCCACGTCCTGTCGACAGATCGGTTTTTTCTGGGCATAGATAGCTGGGGATAGCTGGGAATTGCCCCAATTATAGCAGTAAAATTCCATGATTTATAGTGATGAAAAATGGGATGTTAATGGGATATGATACCCTCTGGTAATTTGTTACATAGCTATTGAAAATGGCCATAGAAATATATAGTTGATTTACCCATTAACATTGTGATTTTCCATAGCTATGTTAGTTTACCAGAGGGTCATGCATGTTTTGAATATATGTTTAAAAAAAACTAATGATAATGACAATGACAATATAGTTTAATTGAGTTTAAAAGATTATTGGAATGGTGTGGGAATACTGGAACATTTTTTTAATAATCACTGGGACATCACTGGGAATATATGAACAATATCTATATACATTATATACATATACAGGGTCAATCTTTGATAGTCCACGACAAATTTAAAAATCTTCGGCTGTTTGGCTGGTGGTTTTCCATCCAAGGTTGGGGATGTTTTTCATGGGACATAAAAAATGGGACACATATCATCAATAAAAGTTATAATGTTCATATCGTTATATGAAATATAGTTATCCAATTATAATATTACAATGATGTTGTACATGATTGTTTTACTTGTATATCACCAGTTAGTTAATTATATAATTATCTGACTGTGTTATTACGTCACTGGGAAAATTGATTTGAAATCATAATATTCATGATAACTGACTGTAATGCTATATAGTTGGGACATGGTATGATATTATGTTAATGACGAAAACACACAGATAATGAGTACACATCCAGTGGTATATGGTGTAGATATATATATATATATTATATATATATATATATATTATAAATATAATATAACTATATATATATTATATATAAATATTATATATATAATATATATATATGGGATGGCCCCACGAATCGATCCACGAATCGGGGATTAACCAGGAAAATAACCAAATATGCAGGTCACGTAAAGGAAACATATATAAAGTAAAGGGATGAAAAGGACTTTTCCAAGTCACAAGAACATCATCTCATAGCTGTGGTCAAGCATTCGTTTCTGCATCGACACCTTTCACTACCACTACCTTTCACTTGGCACTTCATACTCATGACACTCTACACATCTCTACACTTGACGCATTTGGGGGTAGATGGGGTACCCTATTTTTCTACAAACCCTCCACCCGTTATAAATAGCAGTAACCGGGCAACCAGCCTTCGAGGCATTGCCTAGAGGCATAAAACTCCCGAATTGTAGGTTAGAAGGGTGTCCATTGTGGTTAGAAGGGTGTCCATTGTGGTATAACATCGGTTTATATGGTATAATATGGGATTATATGGTATTATATGGGATTATATGGTAACGAAGGTAGCCACTGCTAGTTTTTAGTACTTCAGTGAAAAGTCACAATGTATGGACTATGTGTCGCAGGTGCTTTTCCATTCCGTCCATTGACCACTTCATCCCCGGTGCTCCGCCTCCAAGACACGACAATAGAAGCCCTCTGCGATCACTGTCAGAAGGGTGAAGAGTAACAAGGAAGTGCTGGCCATGGCAACTCATCGCATTGAAACACCCCGAAATTCTGCGGAATTCTGAGGAATCTCTTGCGATTTAGGTCTGCCGAAGCGACTTGAAACCTGACAAATGCTTTCCATTTTTAGCTGGCTTGGAAACAAGACAGCTCTTGCCCTGTGCAGAATGAATCACTCAATCACTCAATTGCCAAGACTTAAGATCTCAATATTTACATGTTGAAAAATGAGAGAGAGAGTGTGTGTGTGTGTATGTGTGTGTATGTGTGTGTAGAGTATATATATATGCAAATATGTGTGTATATGCAATATACATTATATTTATATATACAGTACACAAACCATGATCATGCGTCATAGATAACCAAAGATCTATATTTACATCATGTGTGGATCATATGGCTCTGTCTGAAAACAGCTGTAAGCCGCAAATGTTGATGTTGTTTCTATCATATTCCTATGTCACTTGGAGCACCTGGATAAGATCGGGAAAATCTGAAGCAGCCACAAGTTCATAAACCATAATGCAAACCATGGGACAATGAACTTGAAATAATTGTTTCATGTGGTTTTGCCCGAAAGCAAGGTAACAAATATGATAAACAATTACAAATACGCAAAGAAATCTCAAGACCCTCATTCTCATTTATATACCTTATTGTTTGATGGCCATTGAAGGGTATATCGGTATACCGATACCTTGCCTTGAGACAGACCAATGTGTTTGCTGCGCTGGCCGAAAGCTGGGAAACCAAAAACAAATCCCCGGCTTGGGGGTTGTTGAGAAACAATCAATTTTCAGTAAAACTGGGGATGGTGTAGGATTGTCTTTACGAATACATATCATATATAGGGAATGAATCATTGGATATGGATATTGTGTGTATCTTAACTGAAGCGGATCCACGTCATGGTGCTCCCATGGCCTCTTTTCCCTGCGAGAAATGACCAGCCCCGATCATGACCCGAAAAGATCTGGGCCCGGGAGGCCTTGTGAATGTCACGGTCACCGACTTTGGGGTCACGGAGTTGGCGCCAACATCCAGGTGTTCCACATGAAAAAAAGAAAGACCGTTCAAAAATGATGTTCTGGTTGGTGGTTTCAACCCTACCCCTCTGAAAAATATGAGTCAAATGGGAGTATGGTTTCCCAATATATGGAAAAATAAAAATGTTCCAAACCACCAACCAGAAAAATGACGTTCCCCATGATTACTCCTCCGGGAAAAAAAACAGACGCAGCCCCCCGAATGCTCACACGTATGTTAATTGTACAGATGTCGAAACACATGGACATGCAGTCACGCAGAACACTTTTTTGCAATAGTTTATTGGAACAGTCTTGTACATATTTCCCCTGTTACCAGTCTGCAGTGTGGAGTGGAAAGTGTAGAGTGTGGAGTGTGGAGTGGAAAGCGCAGAGTGTGGAGTGTGGAGTGGAAAGTGTAGAGTGTGGAGTGCGGAGTGTGGAGTGGGGAGTGTAGAGCATGTAAAGTGTAGAGTGTGGAGTGTAGAGCGTAAAGTGTGGAGTGTGGAGTGTAAAGTGTAGAGTGTAAAGTGTGGAGTACAAAGTGCAAAGTGTGGAGTGTAAAGTGTAGAGTGTGGAGTGAGGAGTGAGGAGTCTAAAGCGTAAATTGTGGAGTGTGGAGTGTAAAGTGTAGAGTGTGGAGTGTGGAGTGGAAAGTGTAGAGTGTGGAGTGCGGAGTCTGGAGTGTAAAGTGTGGGGTGGGGAGTGTAGAGCATGTAAAGTGTAGAGTGTGGAGTGTAGAGTGTAAAGTGTGGAGTGTAGAGTGTGGAGTGTAAAGTGTAGAGTGTAAAGTGTGGAGTGCAAAGTGTGGAGTGTGGAGTGTGGAGTGAGGAGTCCAAAGCGTAAATTGTGGAGTGTGGAGTGTGGAGTGTAAAGTGTAGAGTGTGGAGTGTGGAGTGGAAAGTGTAGAGTGTGGAGTGCGGAGTGTGAAGTGGAAAGTGAGGAGTGTGGAGTGTAAAGTGTGGAGTGAAGAGTGTGTAAAGTGTAGTGTGGTGGGGTGTGCAGTGTAAAGTGTGGAGTGAGGAGTGTGTAAAATGTAGTGTAGAGTGTAGTAAAGTGTAGAGTGTAAAGTGTGGAGTGCGTTGTTGCGCCAGCCACACAAAAGAACTTTCGACACGGTATAAAACAAGGTTGGAATGTCACAAAGTGCCACGCCTGCCACGCAAAACGACATGACAACCTGCTTGAAAACCTTCGAAAAGGAGAGATTTTGTAACTTCCCTCATGGACACGGGGACGCCACAGGAAAACCCGAGACTCAAGACGAGACAAAACCTCCACGACCCAAAAGTGCACATGTGAGACATTAAGTCTAAAAAGTGTAATGTGGAATGCAACATGCACACCGCGCACTGTAAAGTGTCGCCTGAAGTGCTGCGCCTGCCACGCAAAGTTAAGCTGGACACGTCCAAAGTGCTGCGCCTGCCACGAAAAGACAAAAAGACTTTCAAGTGACATGTAAAGTGTAGAGTGTGGAGTGTGGAATGAAAAGTTTGTCTCCAAAATGTTGCTCGACATGACAGCCTGCTTGGAAACTTTCGAAAAGAGAGGTTTTGCAGCTTCCCGCATAGACACGGCGAGGCCACAGGAAAACCACAGAGACTCGAGACAAGTGCCACGCCTTCCACGCAAACCGGCATGACAACCTACTTGAAAACCTTCGAAAAGGAGAGATTTTGTAACTTCCCCCAAAGACACGGCGAGGCCACAGGAAAACCAGAGACTCGAGACGAGACACGTGGGCGCAGAAAAACGAGCATTTTGTGCGAGACATCCTCCAATTTTCATACTTTGTAGCTTCAAAATCAACGTTTTCCTATGAGTTTTCTTAGGAACCTCTAAATTTGCTGCTTCAAAATTTATATTTCGTGCGAGGCTTCCGTCAATTTTCATCTTATCTCACAAAATGCCACGCCTGAAAACGGAATTTGCACCTTGTCGCCACTTGACGCGGCCCTGACAATGCGATTCGCAAAAAAACGCAACACGACACATCTGAAGTGCTGCGCCTGCCACGCAAAATGACGCTGGACACGTCCAAAGTGCTGCGCCTGCCACGAAAACTGCAACGCATCTTTGGAAAACTTCGCGGGAAGTATTGCACCTGCCACACAAAACGACTTTCGACACGTTGCAAAACACGTCTGAATGCAACGAAGTGCCACGCCTGCCACGCACGCGAAACGAAGCAACGAGACGCTTCGCAAAACCTTCAAAAATGAGCCCTTCTGGAGAGCTTACCATAGGCACGGCCATACGGAGATCGCGCGAACGGTTGCGAACGGTTGCGGATGGTTGCGAACGGTTAGGAACGGTTGCAGACGGTTGCGGACGTAAACGCAACGTCGAGCGAACACACCCTCAACCCCCAGACCCCCAGAGTGAAACGGGAACCCTTGCTACGCATTCGGGAAAAAAACGACACTCTAGCACGACAACTTATGACTCGTCGTCTTGCCACAGTCGACCTGACCCAAAGTCAAGTGAAGATATCTGGCGAAATCGCTGAGGTTTCGAGTTTTGTTCGAGAAATGCAGTGTTGCAGGACCTGCTCTGGCTTCCTGACACGTTTTCTTGGACAGAATCCAAGAGAAGCGCGATCTCCACAGAAGCCACAGCACTTGGATCCGCGAAGGGGTCTGGAGGAAAGCTGATTCCGGAAAATGATGATGGAATTTTAGCAATGTCTTGGAAATTCCTGGTATTTTCATTGGGACAATTTTTACAAATGGAGCATGCTCATGCTGCTGGTGCATCCTCCACTTCTAGAGACCCACAAAATTGATCCCTCTGGGAAACATACAAAAAACTATGGAAATCACAATTTGTTAATGGGTAAATCAACTATTTCTATAGCCATTTTCAATAGCAAACTGTTAGTTTACCAGAGGGTAATACTATCCCATTAATATCTCTCCCAACTGAACTATTCACCAAGGATATCCCATTGACTTTGCAGTACCCAGATCCTGCTTTCCTGACCAAATCCTCCTGAGCGGTTCTGGGCCTATCACAGCATCAATGATTCGATCAACTGATGACTAATCATCAAAGTTGGGCCCAATGCTCCGACAAACCCATTGTGAAAAATCGCAAGCAATACTGAAGCTTGCGAAATCTACATTCTCAGTCACATTTGGATACAATTGGAATCTCAATTTCGCAACTTTGGTCTTGCAAAAACTATGTCCAGGTCACTCCAAATGATTTGGAATCTGGGCAGCTACAACTTGTTTTTTCCCAGGCATCCAAGTTGAATTGACAAAAAAACCTCAAACGATGGTTGGGTGCATCGCAAGCATAGTGGTGACCATGGTCCAACCTGCAAATATAGCTATGGTTTATTGTAGATATATCAATACTTACTATTAGACTATGGTTTATAAACCAACAAACATCACTGGGGGGGCACAACCTTGTAATTATGGTTTATACATGGACGAAGTGACAATGCTGGAAAGCCAGGACGGAAAAACCGATCGCCGCTTTGACGCTGCCCACATTTGGGTCGTCTGAAACGTTTTCAAAGCACGAGCTGATGCGCGGATGCGCGTGGTCGGGACAGACTCGAATTCCGATCATAGGTCCCTTGGTTCATTTGATTCGGATCACAGGTAGATGTTATTAAACAAATAACTTAACAAACAAATTTCAATATTATGTGTATATAGATATTTTGCATATGCATACAAATGCACACATTATTCACATAAACAAGAAAGAAAGAATAAACAAAGATGTGCATACATATACAATACATATAAATTTTAATATAGATTGCCAATGCCTGGAATCTGCCTGCAGTCTCAACAGCTATGGCTACGCCATCATTATCCCGTCCCGATGGCAAAAACTGTTCCGCACACCCGCCATTCTAAAACCAAAAAACCTTTAAAGTGCAAAGTCAAATGCATATATATATATATATATTTACACACACACATGTTGTTTCTAATATATATATATACATTGTACATCCATATGTATACATATAATATGTATATATGTAAATATGTATATATATATATATATATGTATTTTTATATGCATGTATAATTTTGAGAAAAAACAACAATCTATACATATAGTAGGCACATATGCATACAGTGGGGATGTATGTGTGTGGACTGTACGTTACCGATCCGCGCAGTGGGAAATGCCATCGCACAGCGCGTGGCTTAGGCGGGCTCAAGTGCATCGGCACCTGCCCGTAGATTTCAGAACCCCAAGTCATAGATGTTGGGATGACTACCGTCCAGTAATGGGAATATTGTGCGAATATATACGGGCAAAATCATCTGTACATGGGGATGCAATGGGTTTGCTTGGTGGTTAATGCTCTGGCAAAATGCCGCATCAATGTTTTGATGGTGCTTAGTATGGTTTAATCGAAGGAAGTCAAACTTCCGACAATATGGACAGATGAAGCAGCAGGGGTGGAAAGAGGCACAGAAAAGAAGAGTCAGAAGAAAAAAAGTCAGAGAAGAAGAAGAACGAAAGACAGAAGGTCAAGGTGCGCGAAAAAGTAGAAAAGTCGCGAAACACTGTGTTTTTCCAATGTTTTGTGGCCCAGAAGGGTCGAAAAGTAGGCTCACTAAAGCGACGGGTGCACAGGCATCTCGGGAGATGAGACCGGAAAAATTGCACACCGTTGTGGCGCGAGGGAGTCAAAAAGTTAAAAACATTTCGGGTTCGGAGCACTTTTGGAAGTTGAAATGTGGAAAAAGTGCACGGTGTTGTGGCGCGAAGCACATCTCGAAGTCAAAAGGTACAAAACTCCTTAGCTCCGCTGGGGGCCTGTTTGACACCCACTCAAATACTCTCTTGGATCGACCTGTTCGAAGCTAGCTACATGCATCAACGTCACACATAGCAACCGCGAGTTGGCAACAAGGGCCTCCAACAAGGGAGGCCCTCACCGCCTCCAAAAAGTATGCCGGTTTCAGGTGCCAAAAACGAACCCTCTGGACATGACGACGTGCTGCTCCTTTAGCAACACAAAGATCAGCAAATGTGGAAACACTTCATCTGTACGTTGCTAAATTTTGGAAGGTGCAAAGGTGCAACTTTTTCAGAGTAGAAAAAAGAAACTGTATGGTTTCTTATTCACATTTCCGAAAGTTGCACCTTTGCACCCTGGTTTTTCTCTATCTATTTTTTGGTGCAAAATAAGAGAAATTGACCACGCTGTTAGCCAACAAGCATTAAACGCGCTCTCGGGTCTCCCTTTTGCAGGCACAAGTGGGCCCGCCAAGTCAAGTGAAAGAACACCTCCAGCCGGAAAACGACCTTTGCGGTGAGGGTGGCCCTGGTGAATCGTTTGCTGCTGACATACAGCGCAATCCCTCCTATATGGAACGTGTCCACGTGCTATATGCTCATTCCAACTCAATGGACAAAGTTTAGGAGACCTTTCCAACACTTGGAGCATCAGAGCTTCTGCAGCCGGCTGCCCCAAAGAAAAACAACAGGTCAGCCCTTCAATGCCATACTCATGACCGCCCCAGGCCCGGATTGGACGTGGGCAGTTTGGATTGCCAGGCATCTCATAGCGTCCTTCAACGCTACGGCTCCTACAGTTTGGTCCGCCAATGATGGGGTGGAGCTTGTTTTCAAGTGCAGCTCTGACCGGGGGTTCCTGTTGCTGGCCCCTCTGGACATCAATCTCCAAAAGAAAAGACTTATGACTACCATACTAACGCCATGCTCGGCCCAGCGTAAAACCAGAATCTTCACTGAGGACACCCACCGCTGACTCGAATGTGCAAAAGACCACCGTAAGGATGTTGAACTTGAACTCCATCTTTTCCCCTGTCAACCTTACAACCAAGACGTTCGACGAGCAAACCCATTGGCAAAGTTGGCTCGATATCCAACTGGTTGAAGACCATGATGTTCCCAGGGGTCATGTGGAGCTTCGTAGTTTGGCCGTTCGCAAGTGTCACTGGCACAACCTTGTACCCTTCGAGAGATTCAGCAGGCCGAACTGGCCTCAAAGCGTGGGTGGCTCTTGGGTCAAGCAACCCTGAGCATGGCCGGACGGCACCCGACTCAACTTGAAAGTCTTGAACTTCACCTGTTCTTGCAACCTGTTCACAACTGCATCCCTTGGATCAGCTGAAGAGGTCGTAGAGAAAGTAAAAGTCGCAGTGCCCGAAGTCAAGCTCTTGAGCATCTTGTTGACCTCCTTCCCTTTTAAACTCCTTGGAGATGTATCCTCTATCTTCTGGACTTTCAGCCTGTGTGGTGAAGGCTCGCCCTTCTCTTTTCGGTCGAGCGCACGCTGGTGACATATGGTCAGGTGACCCACATGTCCAGCAGCGACGTTTTTCGTCCTTGGGATTTGAAAGGAAAATCTTGCAGTTTTGCTTTTCCTCCTTCCCATATTCCCTTTTTGCCGGAAGCCTCACAGTTTCTTCCTCCAGCTTTTTCAACTTTGCAGCCTTTGGCTTCTCTGGCTCGTTCTTCTTTTTGACAGGGTTCGAAGTCTCTTGGTGAACCACCTGCTCAAACTCAGCAGCGACATGAAATGCAAATGAAGTCACAGAAGAGGAAGTAGGTGTTGAATCACCTTGTAGAGTTGACCTTTTTCCAACCTGATTCTGAAGCTCAAATCAGACCAGCGTAGGAGTCGCTGGACAGCTTCTGAAAGATTCACAGCTTCAGCTGGAAGCTCAAGTGACCTCAAAATTAATGCCTTTTCTGCAAGGCCACCCGGTTGGTAAATCACCAACAAGTGGCAAATAATTGACAAAACCGTCAACTGTTTCGAAGAAATCAGCTCCTCGCGCTGTAGCTCTTGCACTGCCATCAGTAATAAGGTTGAAGAACGGCGCTCCAATCTGGCCCATCGTTGTTTAGATAGCTCCGAAGAGGGCTTTGGCAACTGGGCGACTCTGTCCAAAGGAGACAGCAGGTGTTGTTGGTGCCATTGAGGCGCTTCTTTCACCAAAAGCTGCGACCACTGCCCACTGGAATCATCGGTTCTATCACTGTCATCCAATTGTTGAGATCTATCGGTCCTGTTGTTGAAGACCGTTCAGCCAACATCAGCAAAGAAGGAGCATGACAAACGGCCTCTGAGGCATGCGCATCGTCTTTACCTTCTTGCATGTGACGTTGTAGAGCTTGGATGCCTTCCATCAGCTTGAGCATTACCTTGACGTTGACGCCCAGAGTCTTGAGAACTTTTTGGGGTCTCGCAGCCTCAGCCTCCTTTATCCCAGAGCTACCATCAGATCTATTCGGGATGGCAAACCTTTGGCCTTCTTCCCAACTTCTGGGCTTCTAAAGCCTCAACCCTTTCCCTCAAAAGGCTATTCTCCCTTGGCATCAACTCCATATTTTTCCTCAACTCTTGATTATCCCTTTCAACGGTCATACCCATAGCATCCCCCAGCTCCCTTTCTTCCCTCCTCCATCATCCTTCGTTCATCTGGTCTTTGGACCGGTGGAACGATGGGTCCATGTGGCAGCATTGCTGTGCATCGAAAAGAGGTGGCAGTGGATTTGCCATAGGATTAGGTTCTGACAACATCCTCGGGGTTGACTGGAGATCATCCCTTCTGGCCTCTGGCTCACTCCCAACTCCCTTGTGTCCTCCCACAGACTCCTGTTCTTGGCTTCTTCTCCTCAGGGGACCTCTGCGTAGATCCCGAAAGCCTTGGAGTTTACTGGACAGAATCCTGCGGAGGCAAAACCTTAATGTCTTCCAAGGCCTCAGAAACCTTAGACTCCTTAGTTTCCACAGGTTCCTCAGTCAGGGCGGCAGCAACAGGTTGGGAATCTTCAGTGGCTTCCACTCTTCCCTTATTCCTTTTGGGGCTCTTTGGGGCTCTTTCAGATCACCTTCAACCCTTCCATCTTCTATAGCTATCTCCTCACCTCGTTCTTGGTCCAACCTTCTTTGAGCTTCTTCCATTTCAAGTTGCCGTTGGATTTCTTGGCTCGTAGTCCTTCGTCTCATCATCACTGCCCTAGCACCAGGTCTCCACGGCGATTGGATGCCAAGTCTGGGCTGTCCCCTATGGCCTTTTGAGAAAAGCAGCGTTGCAGCTATGTCAGGACCCTTGCAATCGGCTATGAAATGATATGGAAAATGGCCTGTGGTGAAATGCAGTATCAGCAATAAGGATTCCTTACAACGTGTGTTAGAGTTGGTATTTCATGGTATATGCATGTTTGCGTGTGTATGTATGCGGGAAATGTACTGAAACTAGCGAAGAGACGATGCAATGCGGAGTCCTAAGCATGATGTGAGTCGTATAGTACACAATCTGAATATAGAATGTGATACACTCTGGTGCAATGCAATCGTCTGTGATGTACTGCACATGCAGGCTTCGGCCTGTCGGTGTGTTGGGTATTTTCCAGTGTGTAGCTATGGAAGCGTTGAAAATAATACCTAGCTGTGGCTACATGTCGGCTTGCAGGTATATGCGGGTATGCAATTAGATGTAATGTGAACATGTAGTACAGTAGGTTTATATGCAGCTGCGTGGGTGTGTGTGTGTGTGCGTTGTGTGTGTGTGTCTATGCACACGTGGGAATGTGATAGTCTGATGTGGTTCTCCAATACAAAGACTACTCCAGTCCAATGCACCGACAGCAGCGCCGAACAGAATGCTATGCATTGCGATTGCGCAGCTACTGCGTTGAAGAAGTTTCTCTTAAATAAAAGGATGTTTGCTCACCCACACTTACCAATCGTCCTGTCTATTTCAGACCATTTGACCCTACAAAAAAATGACCCGCTACAGGACGGCCGCCCGCCTTTGGAGCCGAGCTTCTTCAACAAGCGTTTCACCCTGTCTCGCCTCAAGACAGGTTCTGAAGTTTTGGGGTACCTGAAACAATGGGTGTTCCCCCCAAAATCCCATGGTTGAGAAATTGAGACCATATGTTTTTTTCCGACCAATAGCCAACTTGAAGCAAAAGTCTGGTCGCTTTTGAGTCTTCATCAGGCTACGACGGACTTGGTCCACACCCAGACAAGTTTGTGATCCAGATCAACCCCAAAATTCCCCAGAACCAGGATTGAACCCTCAGGGATTGAACTGGAGCTCCAAAAATGAGCGAATTTTATCAGGCCAAAAATGGTGACATTTTTTCACCTTCTTCGACTCTAGTGGTCCGAAAAACGCCCCCAACCGAAGTCAAGGAGCTTTCCTTTGCACATCCGAAACTTGTGACTCATGTGGCAGAAGGGGCACTCAATGCCTCTGGCTCAAAGATGCACCCAAACATTGGTCCTGGGGTCCTTTTGGAAGCCATAACTGGTTGATGCGGTCAACATACATTATGAGGTGAAATATGTGCACCATCACAGGGATCGTAAAAACCAAGGCAGCCAAGGCATCCATGATAAAAACATGTTAAAAACCACCTGTGACGTCTTGATGTTTTGATAGAAACAAGTCGTTTTGGAGACACCATGGTGAAGCAGCGGAGTCGTTTTTAGCCTGCAGCTATTTTATGTCTGCCCTGAAAATGGAAAGGTTTCCCTCACAATCAAGAACCATCGAACCATCTGTGGCTATCCTTTGCCTTATGGTCATGTCAAATCCGATTTCGAACGGAAACACCATCCCCTCAGCCAACATAGACCCTGCCAAATAATTAAGCGACTGAAAGAATACTTTCCCCTAAAGCTTGCTAACTCTCGGGGTCTGTGAATTTGGATGGCAACTACTATCTCCACCATGGGTCACGTGATCTTCCTAAATGTTCCTACAAAATTGCCAGCCCGTGATCCATGCCAAGCCCCAGCGGCCTTTGGTACAACCACATTCTGCTCGGACAAAGATACAAGGTTTGCACTTCTCCTGTTCGGAAGGGAAAAACCATGGAGCTTTCATCATGGGATGACCACGATTTTTCTAGTAAAACCCATGGGGACGACTGGGATCCCTGACTTTCCTTGGGGATGAAACCGCATAGCACCATAGAATGGGGATATTCAATATTAAGGAAGGATTATCTGAAGCATACTGGTTAGTGGTATACCTACCCCTCTGAAAAATGATGGACTTCGTCAGTTGGGATGATGACATTCCCAATATATGGAAAGTCATAAAATTCATGTTCCAGTCACCACCAACCAGCATAGTACTTCACTAACCTGAAAAGTGTGGTTAAATAGCTGAAATCTTAGGCCATTTGGGGATGATTCCCCGAGATTCACCATCATTCCAGTGAGGTCACAGAAAGGTTGTTCTAAATCATCCAGAAAAACGGCCAGCAAACAATGGAAAATCCTGCAGACTGTTTCTTTCGAATGGAAAGAAGAAAACACGTCCTGGGTAATAAATCGATGATTAGCGGGAATGCGGATGTAAAGTAATGGTAAAAGGACTGAAAGTGTTTACTCAATATTAAAACGTGATGTAGTCGAGAGTAGTGTAACGCAAGGTAGTGTAATGATGTGTAATGTTTGTTGCAGTATGTTCTCTTGTGTAGTGTACCGAAGTGCAGTGTATAGTGTCCTGTGTTCCATCAACAGGATCCAGGCCAAAAGTTACAGCAACAAGCGATGTGAACTGGTCTACTGACTTGGTCAATTTTGGTCAATGTAAATATGTCTTGCATATAGAGATCTGGGTAAATTATAATATTTCACTAACCTGAATTAAGGCCATTTGGGGATGATTTCCCTTATTAACCATGATTCCCAGTGAGGTCGCAGTGAGGTCGTTATAATTTACCCAGAGAGATAAACAGCCATACAAGACCAACTGCACAAAAAAATTGTTGGTTTCATCTCCATCTGTGGTATCCACACGCCGGACTCCCGGACTGTCGCACCTCAGGCATGACATGCGCAATGGAACCCACGGAAGTCAGTTCTCCTGCGGCATTTCACATAGCATAGTTGGGCCAGTTGGGTTTGGTTATGATGCCCCTGTACATTCACCATGATTCCAGTGACAGTGAGGTCACGAATTAATTTACCCAGGTACATCATGGCACATCCAGATACCATGTTTATGTTTATGTAATGCAAGATGATGTCATGTGTGTGTGGGTGTGATTTGAATAGCGGCAATGGTTCTTGCAACCGTAAATGATGTACGTATGCACCTACACATGCACAGATGTATGTACGCATGTTTGTCTATGTATGATTGATCGTTTGCAAATTTGACCACGTTTGTAGACAGGTGCATAATGGTGCATACATAACCAAATAAATGCTACCCCTCCCCCAAAGATCTACCATGTTGGGCCTTTTGCAGCTAATCTCAAAGAGGTAGTATTTTTGGGAACCTTTTGCAAAAACAAAATAAGTACACACTAGTACCCGCAAAAAGGATAAGCACAGACTCAGGTTAAAAGGCACAACATTCCTTGAAGGAAGCAAATTGCAGCGTTCCTGTCCATGATTTACAACAAACACCTTTCATTCATAAGCTGCAGTATTTCTTCAAGACAATGCATTACTTCTTTCAAGAAGAAGTATCCCTACAAAATATAGGGCACTCCTCCAAACATGCAGTGTTCCTTTCTGAAGAAGTGCAGTCTTCCTTTCAGAACCACATTAGGCCTTCCTTCAATCGTACAGTATTTTTCAAAACACCAGATTCCTACACAAGATGCAGTGTGTTATTAACATTCAGGACTGCTGTCAAAAGTGCAATGGTCAAAGCACATTGCAGCAGTTTTTGAAAAAAAAAGTTGTTAAAAGAGAATGCTGCTTACAGGTTGCAACTTGCTTTGAAGACATAATATTCCCTTAAATAAGAGGCAACATTCTTGCAAGAAAACTATAATGTGTGGAAAGATGCAATATGTATCATTTAATGAAGCTCTGCCTTCATCTCATTTTTTATATGACATTTTCTGAGGAAAGACTTCACTTCTTCTAAATAATTGCCTTAAAGACATGGCATTCCCTTCAGTAGTAAGCAGTATGTTTGCACAAAAAAAATACTAATATGTGGAACGATGCAATACGTTCCTTAATGAAGTTCAGCATTCCTCTTATTTTTCTACTGCCTGACAAAATTTATGTTTAAGGAAGGACTTCGCTTCAAAATCATGTTGCCTGTTTTGTTCATTCATATGGAAGGCATATTGCACACATACAACCATGACTTGTTTCGTTCAAAAAATACTACATACTACACCCAAGGATTCTACTTCATAGTAATGCTTCTTTGTCTTATTGCATGCTTTTCAATCAAATGGTTCACTCCCTTGTGAAGCAAGCTTTGCCCAACACTTTCCTTAAGGAATATTATAACCGATAAGGGTACTCAAAGGATATGATTCTTATATAGATAATGCCGTCCTCATTCCATAGATTCCTTTACCTCTTTAAAAGAACTGTGGAAATAATTATATATATATATATGTGTGTACTGTATATATATATGTACTGTATATATATATATACATGTACTGTATATATATATATATGTACTGCATATATATATATGTATATATAGTCAAGGCATATATTGGAGGATGTTGTTTTGAAAACAAACTTAAATGCCCATGCTGAAACGTGTTTGCTTATTCTATGTTCAAGCCGTGGCTATGGTGGGTTTCTTCCCATGGTTTTAAGGAACTTTCTGGGAGGGTGCTCAAACCATGAGAAAACCAACAAAACACCTGGATGATGTTCATGAGAGGTGGCTGAGTAGATGACATGGTGTCCGATTTTTTCCATGGTTCTTGGCACTGTTTGGGAATATTTGTCGAAACCTCATAAACATACGTAACTGCTATTTGAAACAGCTCAACCATTTCAAATTGACATACTAGCTCAACGTAAGTTATACTCAAAACATAGTCTGGTAGGGGGAAGAACTAAGAGGTCCCCCTACCTCTCTGGAACCAACAAGCAGGTTCCAGGGAGGTAGGAACTCCGACCTTTTAATGCCAGACCTTCATTGTCTCACAAGCTATGAATGATAAACCAATCCAGGATTGAAGATTGAAGGCCTGAAAAAACAAAAGGGTGTCTCCAAAGATTGGTTTCGAGTCATAGTAGGTTGCAGTACAGGAACCTCTAGACTCTAGAGATGGGAAGGGTCAAAACTTCGAGAAAACCAAAAAAAAAGCACTTGCAGAACCAATGTCTGGGGAGAGGCTTGGCTTCGAGAAAACAAAAAAAACAATAAAAACAAAACTGCGGAGTCTATGTTTAGGGAGTAGCTAGGCTTAGGGATGTCTGGACATGGGGTCTGCAGTTTTGTTTTGTTTTTTTTGTTTTCTTTGAGGTCTTTTGTGCAAGTTTAATTCGTTTGTTTTTGGTTTCGGTTTTAGCTTCCCCATTTCTTTGGCTATCTCAAAGAAATGCGCAAAACCATGGTAATTGCCATATGAAATACCTCCAGGTGGATCCTTTTTGGGGGGAAACCATATATAAATAGATAGCTATGACTATCTATCTATACACTAATTTATATGTATTTAGAATTACTTATCTGGATATGTTTAAAATTGATTGAATATATGGCACCCAGCAATGTACCACTTTTAACAGACCTTTCAACAACCCAAAACAAAAGGCGGCAAAAGGTAGATCTACGTATATTGTGCGTATCGTGTACGCATAGATTGTACGTATATTGTATGTACGCACACAATGAACGTATATTCTACATATGTTGTGAGTATATCGTAAGTATGTATGTATGTGTGCATGTGCTTATCTATGTATCTATCTGCGTATCTGTGTATCTATGTATATATGATTATCATTGATTATCTATGTAATGTAATGTAATGTAATGGAATGGAATGTAATGTAATGTAAAGGTCATGTAAAGGTCATGTAAGGTCATGTCATGTCATGTCATGTGTTGCTAAAGGTGTTTTCATCACCTCCACACCCCCCAAACTGCCACGGCGGGCTCCGTTCTCATCCAGAGGGATGCGCTTGATCCAATGGTTCATGTCGGTATGTGGGACGGCTTCACACCGGACGGACTCAATGAATTCACCTCAGTGATGAAAAGGCACACGCTGCACCGACAAAGGTTGATTTTTTTACAGGGCTAAACGGATGTTATGGGATGTTTTTGGATATTTGATTCAACATATCATATCATATATCACATATCATATATCATGGTACGTTTTTGGGATGTTCGTGGCATAATGCGTGTATTGCTGATTGTTAGTGCTCACGATATTTCCAATCTCTGGGATGTAACAACAGCTGACCAGTGGTTCGAAAGTAGTCAGCAAACTCCACGAAACACACGGGAAAAGCGGCATGTCCCCCATGTGCGGATTGTGGATGGACCATTGTGGATTTGTTGTCGAAACGAAAACACTCCTAGGATGTCCCGGGTTCAGGGGCCCTTTCGTGATCCAATTGCGCGCCAGCACACTGTAGAGCCTGCAGGGTTCAGAACGCTGACGGTCACAATCGCCTGGTGCGCCACGCCATGAAAGAGGGAAAAAAAGATGGAAAAAACCACGGTTGCCCATCCCACTATGGGTTAGTTCACAGTACATTTTTACTGACCCACACTGCCATGGCCATTGGGAAATCCCCCATTTAGTTCGATCCCCCAGAAACCGACTTCGGACGACTTCGGAAGTTTTCAGGGATTTTCCATTGCACACATTACCAGATGGCTTTCCTAAGGCAAAGAAGTTTGACCTGAAACCATCTCAGCACTGCAAAAAATCCAAACTCAGCGACCAGGGGTTTATTTTTTGAACACAAGACAAATGGTTTTGATAATTTTGATATATATATATATATACATAGGATATACATAGGATAGTGGTTTTATATCCTTTGATATCCTTTGATATCCTTCTATAAATGTTTTTTTGGGGGGGAATGATGCAGCCCCTCATTTCAAAAATCTGGAGGACCTGGGACGTCCTGAGACGTGACGGTTGGAAAGTTAGCCGCTGAAAATACTGTGGATGGTTGCAAAATCCTGCACCAGTTGATAGATGGTAAACATCCCATTATTTATAGGGTTTCAACCATCCTTTTGGCGGTGCAGGATTTCGCAACCATCCAGCGACTCCTTGCTGATTGCTGCTGATGCCTATGGGTCCTGGATAGCTAGGCGCAACTCAAACGTAGATCGGAAGGTCAAGAAAGAATTGAAGGCACCGAAGTAATATAACTCAATATAACTCAATATAATCTTATATTATAGTATATTATAGTATATTGTAGTATATTATAGTATATTATAGTATATTATAGTATATTATAGTATATTATAGTATATTATAGTATATTGTCGTATATTATAATATATTACAGTATATTATACTATATTATAGTATATTATAGTATATTAAAGTATATTATAGTATATTATAGTATATTGTAGTATATTATAGTATATTATAGTATATTATAGTATATTATAGTATATTATAGTATATTGTAGTATATTATATTATATAATAGTATATTGTAGTATATTAAAGTATATTATAGTATATTATAGTATTATTCTAGTATATTATAGTATATTATAGTATATTAAAGTATATTATAGTATATTATAGTATGTTATAGTATATAATAGTATATTGTAGTATGTTATAGTATATTATAGTATATTGTAGTAAATTATAGTATATTCTAGTATATCATAGTATATAATAATATATTATAGTTTAGTATAGTATATATTAGTATATTATAGTATATTATAGTCTTTTCTGGTATATTGTAGTATATAATAGTATATTATAGTATATTATAGTATATAATAGTATATTGTAGTATATTGTAGTATATTATAGTATATTATAGTATATTATAGTATATTATAGTATATAATAGTATATTATAGTATATTATAGAATATAATAGTATATTGTAGTATATTATAGTATATTATAGTATATTATAGTATATTATAACATATTCTAGTATATCATGGTATATAATAATACTTTATAGTATATTGTAGTATATTATAGTGTATTGTAGCATTTTAAAGCATATTCTAGTATACTATAGTAGATTATAGTGTATTAATGTCATAGCATATCATAGTACATTGTAAAATATTATAGTATATTGTTAGTATATGTATATTATAGTATTTACATATATATATACACATTTTTGCATATATACATAGCGTATATATACATATAATATACGAAATATCTACATATTATATAATGTATGATATATTTATATATATCAAACTGTATATTATATATAAAACAGTATATATAAAATATTATATTATATTTGATATATGATACATGATATATTATATATTAAATATCATATATTGTATATCATATATTACAAACTATAGATTATATAAAATTTATTATATATTATATATAATATATTATATCATATACATATCATATATATATATTATACATTATGTATTGTATGTTGCATATTATATATTTTATATTAGACATTACACATTTTACATTCTATATTATATAAATTATATATGATACATCATATACTATGTATCAAATAATATTTCTTATGTATTATATATTCAATATATTATATATAATGTATTATGTATTAAATATTATCTTTTATATATTGTATATAAAAACGCTATATATTATAGATCATATACTACATATCATAGATCGTATACGATGTATGATAGATCATACATTATATATCATATATTATATATTATGTAAAATGTATTATATATGTTATATCACATATTATATATCATATATTATATACTGTATATTATATACTATATATTATGTATGTATATTATATGTATTACATAGAGTATGTATATTAGATGAATTATATATAATATTATGTGTATATATATATACCATATATATATATTGTATATACAAAGTATGTGTTTATATATGTTATACATACCATATATAGTTAAATATTATACACATAGTTTACAGATATATGCATAATATATATTACGCATACATATATACATGATGTATGTATATATATATATATTATAATATATACATGTATGTATTACATAAAATACATACATACACATAATAGTATATATAAAATACGTATGTGTATGTGCACACAATACAATACATATAAATGATATAACATACATGTACAGTACAAGCAGGCACCTGTTTGTATACGAGTTGTATACATATGGAGAGCTTGAATCCCTGTGTTTGATGCTTTTCCATGCTTTTCCAGGGTCTCACTGCATTGGATGCTGCCCGGCCCTGGCCTCCTGTCGGTGCTTCCTCTCCGTTTTGGAGGTCAATTGATGTGAGGTGCGGGGTCATCTCCTCGATCAGTAGCTTCCACTAATGAGATGAACTAAGCATTTACTGGGAACCACCAGGGATGAATCAACGGATTGACTTTAGCTGGTTGGTGGTTTCAACCCCTCTGAAAAATATTAGTCAGTTGGGATTATTATTCCCAATATATATATATATATATATATGGAAAAATAAAATTCATGTTCCAAACCACCAACCAGTTAGGGAAAGAGTACAGGAAAGCCTGGTCTTCTCCAAATATCAAGAACTGCGGCCCAAAGATTTGAAACCTTTGAGACCCGGTGTACCCTCTAAGCGGCGATGGCAAACGCCACGCCGTTTACGGTAGAAAACTGATGCAAATTGCTTGGAGATAAAAACGAAACAAAAAAGACGAAAAGACTGAACCAGAAAAAGAAGGTCTTTTGTTCCCCCTTGGCCTTCCCTTTGCTTCCCGTCTATTTTCACCGTTTCTCTGTACGAATTGGATACCAAAAAAAAGAGGGATCATGGTACACCTACTTGTTTTAGCCACCCTTTTTCCCCACCTGCCAGGTGAGGGTTGTTAGATTTTATCAGAGTTGTTCTTCTCCTCCTCTTCTTCCTCCTCCTCGTTCTCCTCCACCACCTCTGCCTCCACTTCCATGTCCACTTCCGCCTTGCCAACTCTTCGCCAAGCTCTTCGCCAACTTCCGCACGCAGTGGCCACTGCTGGACCTCAACTGCAAGGGTCTGAGCGCACTGGGCACCGCTGGACCTCAACCTGGGACCTTCCGAGCTCAGTGGGCACCGCTGGACCGCAACCTGGGACCCGCCGAGCTCAGTGGGCACGGCTGGACCTCAACCTAGCTCAGTGGGCACCGCTGGACCTCAACCTGGGACCCGAGCTCAGTGAGCACTGCTGGACCTCAACCTGGGACCCTCCGAGCTCAGTGAGCACGGCTGGACCTCAACCTGGGACCCGAGCTCAGTGAGCACTGCTGGACCTCAACCTGGGACCCTCCGAGCTCAGTGAGCACGGCTGGACCTCAACGGCCAGATAGAATGCCAGAAGATATGCCAGATAGAACGCCAGATAGCATGTCAGAAAGAATGCCACAAGATATGCCAGATAAAGTGCCAGAATGTTTGCCAGAACATATTGCAGAAGATATGCCAGATAAAGTGCCAGAATGTTTGCCAGATAGAATGCCAGAAGATATGCCAGATAAAATGCCAGAAGATATGTCAGATAGATTGCCAGAAGATTTGCCAGTAACAAAACGTATAGATGTCATGGTGGGGATAACTCGAAGTAAAGTAATTTCCCTGTTTAATTCTATTGTAAGTCAAGCCTTGACATCTTCCCTTTCTTCTGTGCCAATGTTCCCTTTCTGTCTTCCCCTAAAAACTATGGTGGCATTTGCCAGTCGAAACTTCTTACTGCTAGATTTTTCCAGTCGCAGTTTCTGAAATTTCATGAGGACTTTTGTTGATGTATGAAACATTCTATGAAACAGTCGCATCCTGGTTTGATGCTTCCAAAGTTCCTAAACTGTGCGTTCAGTTTCACTACCTCCCATATGGATTGATGCCTGGAATCCCACCCAGAAAGTCTTGGGAAAATTGGGGATGGTGGATCCTGTGGATCCTACTGCTTTATCCACATAAAAACCACCTGATGTTTCTCAAGCCACGAGTGTTTCTATGGTTGTTGAGCCCTCAAAAATAGCTGGTTTATGGATGGTTCTTCTCCAAACCAATGGAATGTCATCCCCCGAACTGCTTCCGCCAAGGCACATACTGAAGAGGTGACCTTACCGTTGTTTCAGGAAATCCCATGGATTTTTTTTCCGAGGAAAAGGATCTACAAATTGCGGGCGGGTCATCATATCTGTATCTCTATGTGAATGCATTATGACATATATATATATACATATTATATGATATATGATCATAGAGATACAGATATTTCATGACCCGCAATCTTATGTTCTATGACATAGTGTAATAAAACAAATAGATGTGCTGCATTGCCATGCTAGGATGTGCTAACCCCGAACCAAATCTTTCGGTTGATATAAACCAAATCTTTCGGATGACAGACGGCCTGAAGATGTTACCAGAGTTCCCTTATGAAGCACTTGCAATGAACAGCCTTCAACAGCTCAAAGTTGCTCTTCCAGCATCTTGTGAATGAGTAAAGTTCAGAAGTATGAGATCACGGGAATTAATGGGAAACTACCCGGAGGTTTCTCCGCAGCCCTGCGGATGTGCATCCCAGAAATCGGATCCGTGCTTTGGAATTAATTAATCCAACCCATATTTCATCCCGTATAGAATATTCCATTTAACACTTAGTAAGTTGTTTATGCTCCATTAATCTAAGCCATATATAATCTCATGTATCTCATATATATAACCCACCTATAACTGGGGCTATACCCCATTTTATCGTGGGATGATCAATCCAGGGCACTCACACTGAGAGCGTGCTGAGGACGACTTGCCGGCCCAGACATAGTGTTGCCCCTGCGGGCGACGCTGTTTTTGACCGGCGCAGGGGCAACGTGGAGGTTGGAAAAAAAAACATGTTTAGCCCATTGTTTTTTGTAGGAAAATGATCTTTAGTCATGTTTAACCATGTTTAGCCCATGAGATCGATAAAAATGGTAGCTTTTCCACATCTATGTTTGTTTATAGAACTGTAAGCCCTCAAAAACTCCACAGAGTCTCAGGGACTGAACCCGAGGGGAACGAACCTGCCAAGCCTGGCAGGGTGATGTTCATCGCCCCAATTCATGGCATTCACGGCACGGCTCGGAAAACCGAGCCGTACTGAATGGGCATATCAATGGGAAAATGATCGACTAAAATGAGGCATTTTCTAGCAAGCCCTCTTTGATGACCAGAGGGTACCCAAGTTTGAAAAACAACAAACACACATATGGATTAAGATGGGACACAATAGCAACTTCTTGCAACTCATCGCGGCTATCAGTCGCTCGAAATCCACCATCTTGGGTGATCATCAAAGGATGCTTCGCCAGTTCGTCATGGTTCGTCTAAAATATAGGCCTTTTCCCGTAAAGCTTCTCCAGAAAACCCTAAGAGATCCAAAGGCAAGGATTGTTCACAATGGCAGGAACATTCTAAGATACATCAAAATACTGTAGGAGTCATACTCATGATGAAGCCTAAAGATCCTAAAGCTACTTATACTTCAGGTTCTTTCTGTTAGAGAGTATGTCAATGGCAGTCAGCTACGGGGTTTTCGTCGTACAGCAATGGTATTATCAATGTATACCATCATACACATCCCTTCAAATCATGCCGGTTTCAGTCCAAGGTCTTCCAAAGTTCATGTGAAACCGTCAGCAACGCACTTCGTCAAAATCGTTTTCTTTTAGCCATCCATCAACCAATCGTTTCGCTCTCGAGCCACGAGCCTCACAGCAGCCGGCATAGGCATCTGGCAGGATGCCTGCAGATTTAAAGCTGCTGGACGAATCCTGGATGGAGGTTGCAGAGTCCATGTTGCTGGGGGGTGGGGTACCCAAGCTCGATGGATGGTTTTTGTTGAGGGAAAATCATACGAATCAATGGATGAGAACTAGGGGTACCCCTAATGACACTGAGGAAACCCCTATGACTTGTCCTGACATCACGATACTGCGTGTAAATGAAACACAAAGGATGAGAAATAGCCTTAGAAATTGAACATCTCGATTTATCCTTTGATAAAAATCGGTAAGAATTGGGCATACTCCCAAATGGCAATTTTAATAGGGACAACAATGATTAACCAATGGATGGAATGGGGTACCTTATTTTCAGACAAACCCAAATTTGTCAGAGAGGGTGACACTCTGGTCTTGCTCGCGGCTGGGGTAAAAAGCTTCTACCACCTTTTAGCTTTGGCTTTGCCACATCATATATCTTCAAATCCGATGAAACGTGCGAGGGGTCGCAGGTTTCCAAAAGACATATAATATGTATATACTGTATATATATAATTGTTCAAGGCATGTTGTTTGTTTGTTTTCTGAGGACTTCTGAAGCCCCTGCTGGCCCTGAAAAATAGACGTGGATCTTGGATGATTTTGGTGACATTTTGGGTCTTAGCTGCTTTCCAATTATGGCTAATGATGCTAAGAAACATTGAGAAACACCAATTCCATAGAATTCCAGACAATAGCAGTGGCAGACAGTCTCTGCTCGGCCAGACAGCTTCATTTTTTGAATCCGACACGGAAATGACCTTAAGTTCTGATCAATTTCGGCACCAATTCTACCGCTTGTCCTAAGGATTCACAACCAAAATTGCTGGCTAACCCCAGTTTTCAGTTGCCTTTTTTGTTTCCCATCCACAGTCCTCTTCCGAACTGGTAGCTGCCTGGCCCAGCTAGGATGATACTTCACCGGAAAAAGCTGTGTTTTCCATGGCTGTTCACACCATTTTCCCCAGAAAAAGATGTGGAAAAACGCAGAAAAATGGCGTGTTTGCACGCTCCGTCATCTCCGGCCTCAACCCAATGCGCGTCCTGTGGCTGAAATATGTCGGATTGTTGTTGTCATGCGAAGCCCCGAGCTGCTTCCCACCACGGAAAAGTCTAAAGTGGATTGGTTTTGCCATCAGAAAATGTGTAAAGTGTAAACTTCGGATCCGATGTTTGTTTCCGAAAGCCTAAAAACTGACAAACAACTGACCTGAAAGTCCATGTCCAACCATCTTGGTTTATCTGAATATAGGCCACCCCAAGATTTTTTCATTGGTTTTCCCATTCTGGAATGATGCGAAATGGCAAACAAAGGGGGGGGCCCGCTACCCCGCGCCACCAATTTTGATCTCCTCTGACCGAAAAGGGTTTCCCAGCAAGAAGCCCTGTACTGAAGCTGTCCTCAACAGAGCTTGCGATTAATTGGCAGTTTCAAACATCTCCTGGATGGGGGAGACTCCCAAGTTCACAAGTAGTGATGGTACCCCATGTATACAAAAAAAATTGCCTAATGCGGTGCCAAAATCACTGTTTGGACTATATCTTAAGCATATGTTTCGTAGTTGACAATGTTTGTAGCCATAAACTCAAGCCCTTAACAAACCATCAACTTAAGAAAAAAACACTAAAATCTCCCAACATTGAGTAGACCCCACAGAAACATTGAATCGACCCTAAATCCACCATAAATGAACCGTAAGCAAAACCCAAAATAAACCTTAGACCAGCCCCAAAGAAACCCTGAAGCCCTGCACCAAACTTGGGGGAATCGTCCAACAGGGGTCCAGTGATGGTAACCCATGTATAATTAATGTATATATATATATATGTATATGTGTATATATAACTCATATAAGTTCCTATGTAACCCATATGTAAGTGGAGATATTCCTTATGAAGGTTTCCATAAATAGGGATATCCCAAAATAGATGGTTTATAATGGAAAATCCTATTAAAATGGATGATTTAGGGGTACCCCCATTTTAAGGAACCCTCACATCGCCCTGCAGCAGGGCGACTCGACTTGGAAGAGTGTCTTGTCCATCGCCAAGTTCTCACAGCGGAGCGGAGACGTATTGGTTTTAAGACATCACCGTAAGCGGGTTTCGGTATAATGCACTCATGTTCACTATATACATCTATATACTTGAAAATATCTATAAAAACAAAGAATTGCGTTCCCAAAGATTTGTTTAAAAAAGGATCAATTCTCAGTCGGTTTTCCGGACTGACTTCTGCAAGTTTTGAAGTGTATCAGCTATGTCAGGGCACAAAAAGATCCGATCAAAACTCTGATATTCTGCTGTGCATGTCAAAAAACACCTGGTTCTTCATGTTTATACCTTGACCTTGACTCGTGAAAGCCACCAAATTCCACGGACGGTCATGCAAGATGAAAGCGAAAAAGCCTGGACGAAGTATGACGAAGTCATGCCTTGACGAAGCCAGCCAGTTGCCGTTCAGAAGCAGTGCCACGTTTTTTCAGTCCAAAACACTCAACATATTGGCCCCCAAAACACTCAACGATTTTGCCCACTACCCCGTAGTCGCCATGTTTCAATTCCTTTTCCGGCCACGCTCTCGGAGGCCAGCAGCCGCAGCCATCCTGGATATAGTGGCTTTGAATTTCTGCTGGGCAAAAGCCTGTACCGATTGAAAGATGGCAAATAATTGGTCATTGTTTGGAAAACAGTGTTGCAAATAGTATTTTTACTCAATGGGGAAAAAGGTACGTCCGAAGATAGCAAATCCACCTACATTCTGGATCCTCTAAAGCCCTAAACTGCGTTGATCAGGAAAAGCTCTGCTGGATTTACGTCCATTTGGTGCATGGACTGTCTCTCGTATGAAAAACACCATAGTCATATAGAATGATCCAGAATGTGCAGCAGAATGTGCAGGTGAAACTGACTTAAAAAAATGCCAAAGTATGGGTTCCAATGATCTGGGAGCGCATACGCACACCAAGCATCTGCTCCAAACCAACAGGCTACTGGTTGTGTCTGAAAAGTATGGGAAAACCCCGAAATGCAGAGGCTTAACATCGAAATGGTTCCCATATATTCCCTTCGAAAATGCCTGAATTTGAGGGAGAAATACCCCATTTTCACACCCATGTCCAACAAGAAAGGTGCATAATACATACATAAATATCGCGGACGACTTCTGGGCTGCTGGCATGACAAAGATGCAGAATACATACATAAATAATATACAGCGGTGTGGTGTGTATATATATATATATATATATGTATAGTATACGCATATGTATGTATGTATATATATATATGCGGCATATATGCGTGTAGATGTGTATGTATAGCTGCAGTTTTCGCTCACCCAAATAAAAACATTTCTCTCACCTGTGCAGGGATGGAAAAGTGGACAGAGTAGCAGCGCCAAAACGGATAGAACAATAGAAATACCATGATACCCTCTGGTAAACATACAAAAAACGATGTAAAATCACTATTTTTTAATGGAAAAATATACTATTTATTTCTATGGCCACCTTCAATAGCAAACTGTTAGTTTACCAGAGGGTAAATACCAAAAGAATGTACATCACGGTTCTATCTGTGCTGGTGACTACTGAGAATGATTGAAAACCACGTTTGGCAGTTTGGAACCCTAAGTCAACGCACAGCTTCAAAAGTGCACGGCTTCAAAAAACGCACCGCTTCGATGCTCAGACGTTCTGCGACGCTGAACGGCTGAAGTCATCCATTGTCAGCCTCTGTGCCACAGCGATGCATGAGTTCGGACCAAAAGTTGAGGGATTTACAACACACGGCACAATGATTGATTGGTGGATTTAGGCTATGTTAAAGATCGCGTGGGAAAAATAACAATCCAAAATCCAGCTCTGCTCGAGAACATCATTTTCCCTCTGAAGATATTGAGCAATTGGCAGCTGCCACAGGATGGCTATCAGACTTTCAGGGGGGAAGCCCTCGGGGTCTATTCTACAAGTAGATTATAGAGGAATAGTAACTGGTTGGTGGTTTCAACCCCCTGAAAAATATTAGTCAGATTGGATCATCATCCCAACTATTGGGGAAAATAAAAAATGTTCCAAACCACCAACCAGGTAAAGAAATGGTCTATTCAATTCCTCTAACTGCAAAGACCATTTCTCACTGCAGACTAAGCATGGCTAAGTGGCTAAGTCGTCAATGTTCTGCTGATCAGATCTTATCAGGGCCTATGACACTGGTCCTTAAAATAGAAGTTGAATGTGGTACAGTTAAAGCCAATTCACCATCACTAAGATATGGCTGTGTCTGAAAATGCGTTTAACGGGAAAAAATTCCTGATAATCCAATGGATTTAGGGTACAACCCATTTTCAGACAAACCTATTAGTATTACCAGACATAGGCACTACAACCCATCTTCAGACAGAGGACTTTTTCTGCATCCCACACTTGCTGTTTTTCAATGTGCAGCACCTGCTGCTGTTGGAATGCCCATTGAAATGTTGGGGGTTTCACAGTGCCAAAAGCCCAGAAAAATGGACGGTTTTTCCATGAAACAAAAGCAACGTTGTGGAGGACAAAAACTCAGAGAAATCACCGGCGCGTTCGAAAAAAAAAAAAACAGATACGACATACCTTCACCTATAGGACCTATGACCATTGCCATGTTGGATGGCCGGAGGCTATTGCTGATGATCTTCGTCCCCACATCTCCTGCATGAAACGCTTGCTTCGAACGTCGTCGCTTGTAGTTGGACTATGATTGCCAGGCTGCTGCAATTTTATGATGGGTTAAGGGGGTTGATACCTCATTATTACTGGTTGTATCTGTATATGCCATGATTGCAGCAACCAAAATCCCACTGAGCTACGTCCCTTTTTGTATTATATGTTTATCATTTCCAACCTCAAACTCTGAAACCGCCAAAACAGCAGTGCCGAGACGCATATTGCTCATATCGCTCCAGCAGGCGACGAGTCCTTTCGCGCCTAAAGAGTTCGCCAAGAGAAAAGTCTAAAAATCATGGGAAACCTCTAGGTTTTTTGTGCGTTTTCACCCATTTGACTGGTGAAATTGGGGTGTCTTAAAGACATCTTTTACCATGAACCCTACATCATCCTGGTCCAAATTGCTCATCATTTTACCCTGATTTGGGGTGCCGATTTTCTCTCCACAAAGATGCTGGAAGGACCAGGGAAGGCACCCATGATGAACGGGTCAGTCCAACTGTGTCGGGTGAAATTACACAGGATCCTACGAAAAATCGCATATTCTGGTTGGTGGTACCCCTCTGAAAAATATGACTTCGTCAGTTGGGATGACATGACATTCCCAACTGAATGGAAATCCATAAAATTCATGTTGCAAACCACCAACCAGTATTGCTCTTAAATGACAACTGATGGGTTCAATCACACTGAACTCCATTTGTACACAGCACATAGCAGGGTAAAATCAGTCATTTAGTCTTGGGGATTCTCTTGCATTATCAGTACAAACATGGCCATGTTCGATCCCAGTGTCAAGAATCCATAAGAATCCCGTGGTTTTACCCAATAATTACTGGTTGGTGGTATACCTACCCCTCTGAAAAATGGAGTTCGGCAGTTGGGATGATTATTCCCAATATATGGGAAAATAAAATTCATGTGACAAACCACCAACCAGATTAGCTACTTTGGAGTTAAGCTAAATCATGTTAAATCCATTGAAAAATCTAACTCGACCGCTAAGCGACTTTGCTTTGCACATGCGGAATCTGTGCGTGAGGTGGCAGAAAGCACACTCGGGTCCTGCCGGCAATCATTCCAATCATTTCCACGATGTTGGATTGGCAATCCTATAATAGGATCTGAACCAATTATAACTTGTTAATAATATATAGGATTCCAAATCTAACTATAACAATTATAATCCTATAATCCAATGTTAGAATCCTAGATTGGTTCCTATAATCATGCTGCATCTGAACTTGGTTCCAAAATTATGCCTATCATTGTACAAATATGTACAAAATGTCGGAAGGAAGGGATGAAGGGGTCAGAAACGGCGAGTTTTCAATGGACATTCTTCGTTTTCGCTCCATCCCAGTCCATCGTTTCCAGATTCCAGGTGTCTCCTTGAGCACATCCAGCAGCTGTGTGCAGGAAAATGCATGGCTTACATTTTGACGCCTGGGCGTCCGAAATCCAACATGGTCCTCTGATGAACCCCTGATGAATCAGGTTTCCACTGATCCCAATCAAAATCCCAAGGTGAAGCCCAAGGTGTTGCAGGCTGCAAGGTGAGAGCCCAGGGGCGCCTCTGGCCGCGTGTGCGCAATGGAACCAATTGAGGAAGGCTGTCCTGCAACCCAGCGAGGAATCCACTTGGGATGTGGGATTTCATAGGGTATACAATCAATATTCATCAACTAATATGAGATTTCATGACGGTTTTTTTTAACGGGATATGATATAATCAACCAGATTCAACGAAGAAATATAGATATCATGGGATATGATCGGGATATCCCAGAAACTTACAAATGGTCATCTCACCATCACAAAAACCCTTTGGATTCTAGGAATCCAATCGCCTCATGGATTGATGACCATCACCCAATATCATGGGCCAAAAAACCCAAGTTCTGCGACTTTTTTTAGTGGAAAGTTTATGTGTCCAATCCCCAAGAAAAATGGGGATTGGGTCGTCATGTTGGAAGAACGCGTATCTTGTATCTTCTTCTCATGGATTGGAGTTGACAATGGATATCTTATTGAAACATACTGTGGATGGTTGAGAAATCCTGCACCACCATTTCAGGATGGTTGAAACCCAAACAAAATAGTGGGATGTTTACCACCGTCCTCAGGTGATAACCGGATTTCGCTGGCCCATCCGCAGTGAACGTCACGAACATCCCCCTGGATCCCAGTGTCCATGCTGATTCACCGGAATTCTCTGTAGCCAGTAGTTCATATCGTGGTGCCGCTGTCCACCACGGCGAACGTAAGCCCTTGGCGTGCTTAAAAACCAGGTGAAAAGACATAAATAATGAAAAAAAAACAGACAATGACTTCTACGATAGTCCCAAGTCCGGGTCAAATTCGTCTTAGCTTGTCTTAAGTTATCTTATGTTACCTTAGGTTTTGCTACAGCGGTCGAAGCAGTTTCCCAAAATTCGAATCTTCGCTTGGTTGGTTTTACCATCCCGCTTGATTCAAGGGTAGGTACCCTTAAGTCACCATTCCATACAAATCTGCTTTAATGGTTGGGTGCAGGTATATTCCATTCAAGGGGGATGTTTTACCTGAATAAGCGTGTGCAAAAATCGCTCAAAAATGGCATGGCTTTCAATTGATTTCATTAATTCAATTATATAATTCAATTAATTCAATGCGAATGAGAACCCATTTGACAATATTTGACATCGACACCAAAGACATGTGCATCCCATCACCAGAAAAAGAACACAGCCAGGCTTGGTGCAGCATCGATAACTCAGCTCAGGAACAGAAACTCACCTTGGCTTGGGAAAGCCCCATGGCTTGCTGCGCGGGTATCTTTGAAAAAACAAAAAACAAATATGGGATTTCATAGATTTTCATAGGGTATACAATCAATATGCATCACCTAATATGGTATTTCATGACGGGATTTCATGACGGGGATATGATATCATCAAGCAGATTCAACTATATAATATGTGGATATCCTGGGATATTATCGGGATATAAGAAACTTACCAATGGATCAATAGACTATGGTCATCTCGCCACCACGTTGCTGTAGTTCTTCTCGCCATTGCCGTCGGATCCTCAGTTGAAGACATCACCATCATTACCACCATGCGCCATGCGCCACGCTCGACATGTACTCCACTATATACACTTTCATAGTTCATAGTGGAGTAGTACATGTTTGGATAGTTCATTTAGGGTTTCTTTAGGGTTTTTGTAGGATTTTGTAAAAAGTGGAGCCAGTTTTGGACAGCAAATTCACCGAGGCTTCACAACGACGTCAAGAAGCAGCACAAAATTGGGGGGTTTGCAGCCATCAAAAAACGGATGACAAAAACATCAAAACCCAGCCCCCCGAGGTTTTCAGGGATAAATGTTGCCAATAGAACATAGATATTTTGGATCATATTGGATGATATGAATGTTTCCTAAAATGTTCCTAAAATGGGAGGTTACCCCAAATCACCCATTCTAATAGGATGTTGCATTATAAACCATCCATTTGGGGTACATGACTATGGAAACCTCCATATACCAAGGCGTCCGTAGAGCCACCCGACTGCCAGTTCTTGTCATGGAAGATGCAACATGACACCAGCATCGACCCCAAATCGCCACCAAGGTGAAAATCAGGAGGCTTAAAACCATGCTTAAAACCGCGGACGTTGGACGGTTAAAACCATGCTTAAAACCTCACATGAATAGTTATATCAATGGTTAATAATAGAGTTATATCATGTTATATCAACATAAACCTACATTTTCTCAGGTGTTCCCATCAAAAATACCATGTTTCCCGTATATGTTTCGACTTTTTTTCCCGAAAATCTCCAGTACCACTCTGTACCAAGTGACCAAGATCAGGCACGGCGCCGCCCTCAGGCCCCCCAGAATCCAAAAATGTTCCATCAAGAAATCCACTGTTTTTCACACTGAAAGATCGAAAAGATGTTTCACAGAAATTTTGACACAAAAAAATCTTGAATATTCTGAATATTCAATAGGCAGATATCAGTAGATAATTTGTTACGTCCCAGCTGTGCCCCTTTAGTCGTGGAAATCACACGCTAAGTAGTAAAACGAAGCGGTGAAGCACATATGATGGGTGCTGGCCATGCAGGAGTTTGTTCAGGAGGTGGGAGCAAAACCGGCTTACGGAAAATCATCGGTTTTCAGTGCTAAATTTATGTACTTTCTCTTAAAGTACCGCGGGGTACATCGGGCACGGCTGAGTGGCCTCTCCCTCTGGCCGTTCTTTGGCGTCAGATCTGGTCCTTCTCATGGTCTCGAAGCCCGATTTTTGAAGGCTTTAATGGTGGCAACTGTCAAATTCAAAGGTCGTCACGAATTTCGAAAGGGATTCAAGGGATGTTCAAATCTACATCATCATAAGATTTACATCAATGATCATCAATTGACCTCAAACGACCCCAAGTCGGATTCTTTCCGTCCAACCATCCAACGCTGGAAGCTCCGGTAGGAAGCTCCGCTCCCTTCAAATCCAAGTTTGATGCAGGATCTGATTGGTGGTTGTGGATAAAGAATGGAAAAGCCCCAGTGTATAGCTGACTTTCCCATGAAAACCTCCATTAATTTATGTGTATCTATATCTATATATATATAATTATATATATATATATCTGGTTGGTGGTTGACCTACCCCTCTGAAAAATGATGGAGTGAAAGTCAGTTGGGATGATGACATTCCCAACTGAATGGAAAAATAAAATAAAAAAACATGTTCCAAACCACCAACCAGAATTGAATTCCACCACTAAGCCAAAAACAAAGTGCCACTTCGGAAGTGGTCAAAAAACAGTTCCACCGCCTATTCGGCCTCAAAAACATTTACATGCATTCCATTGGTATGGGGGTCCACCAGTCAGTCCAAGTCGTTATTTTGGGGGTCAAGTTGCTTTACTTTTTTTGGAGGTATTCATCAGAGCCGCACATAATAAACGTAACGAATTCTTTTGGGAAAAGTAACGATCCCAAAAAAAAAAGACCTGGCTATGATTCACCTACGTAGATGGCTTGGAGCAGCCTTGGTTCTAGATGGAATATCCATTAACATTCAATTAAATGAATCAGTTTTTTGTTTAAATTCTGTCATTCTATCCCAAAGAAGATTCCTGTCATTCTATCCCCAGTTCGGCTTTTTGAAATAGAGCATTCGTCGTCGTTCCAGCAAAGCTTCGTGCTGGTTCACATTCTCCGGGCTCTCGAGCCTCAGAGCCCCTGGATTGGGCTGGCCCGATCTGTTGATCACCATTTCCGACACCCTCCGGTGATGAAACGTGGCAATGGGAAATCCCTGAAAGTGATTCAATGGAGGTTTCAATGAGAAAATTGTCTCGAAATGATTGTTTTCGAGGGAGTTGTTCACAGTTTTCCATAGTTTTCCTTTGATTTCCAGAGGCTGCGGTTTGCGAAAATCATTTCTACGAGACGAAAAACAGGAAACAGTTTGCCTGAGGTCGAGATGGCCGGTTCTCGTTGGTCAGTGGTTGTTGGCACTGTTTGGTGGCGACAAGACAAGTAAATCAGTGTATAAGAGAATATAAGCAAATTCTCATGCCTACTTCATGTACATATATATATATATATATACGTATATATGCACCAGGCCCTGCCACCCCCCCCTCCCCCCCTGTGGTGTGGTGGGGGTGTGGTACTGTCCCCCCCTCCCCCCCTGTAGTGTGGTGGGGGTGTGGTACTGTCCCCCTCCCCCCCCCTGTGGTGTGGCGGGGGGTGTGGTACTGTCCCCCTCCCCTTGCACCCCCCATGGTGTGGTGGGGGTGTGGTATGGTATGTTGGGTATGTATGGTGTGTATGGTCGGTCTGGTATGGCATGTTTGGAAAGTATGGTATGTTTGGTATGTATGGTAGGTGTGCTATGTATGGCATGAATGCTTGCTATTGTATGGATGGTAAGTATGGTATGTAAGTTTGTTGGGCATGGTATGTTTGATATGACAGTATGTATGGTCTGTATGGTCTGTATGGTTAGTATGGTTACTATGATGGGTATGGAATGTTTCCTATGTAAAGTAGGCATGGCATGTATGGCATTTATGTTTGGTATTGTATGTATGGTAGGTGGGGCAATTATGTTTCATATATTATATATATGGTATGTGTGGTATGTGTGGTATGTATGATAGGTACGATAGGTATGGTACGCATGCCATCATTGGAATGTATGGTAGGTACGGTATATGTTCAACACATGTAGTGTTGTGAGAGTACACAGGTAGTAAATAAGAAGTAGATACATAGCACATGTATATATGACTATAGGTGGCACGTAGGTGCTTTGAGGGAGTATGTGTGCTACGTAGGTCGCCTAAAAGGTAGCGTGTACCTAGTAAATGCGAGGCTGGTAGTCAGAAATGCTGCTAAGACCTAGCAAATACGAGGCTGGACCTCCGAAATGCTGCCAATAGCTTGCAAATAGAAGGGAAAGGGAGGTGCTACCCCGGGACCCAACCCATTGGGGTGGGTGGGTGGAGAGACGGAGGACGGGACCATATATATATGTATATATATATATACATATACACATATATACACATATACATAAATATACATAAATATACATAAATATACATAAATATACATAAATATACATAAATATACATAAATATACATAAATATACACATACATATACACGTACATATACATATACATATACATATACATATACATATACGCATATGTATACATATACATATACATATACATCCCGGCGGAAGGGAAACCGCGCGAGCGTTTTGATTGGTTGCTTCCAGGAGAGTCACAATCACCTGTAATTTACAATATAAAATGCTCTTCCGCTCAGTTTGGATAACTGAATTTGGGTTAAAAAAAGTGGATGCAAAACTCATTGATTTTTAACAAATCCAGGTAAACATCATGTGCATCAGACGTAGTAAACGATCCCAGAGATCTCAGCAGCGTAGCAACATGTCACGTAGTAAACGATCCCAGAGATCTCAGCAGCGCAGCAACATGTAACGTAGTAAACGATCCCAGGGATCTCAGCAGCGTAGCAACATGTAACGTAGTAAACGATCCCACAGATCTCAGCAGCGTAGCAACCTGTAACGTAGTAAAAGATCCCAGAGATCTCAGCAGCGTAGCAACCTGTAACGTAGTAAAAGATCCCAGAGACCTCAGCAGCGTAGCAACATGTCACGTAGTAAGAAAGTCCCAAGGATCTCAGCAGCGTAGCAACATGTAACGTAGGAAACTATCTCAGAGATACCAGCAGCGTAGCAACATGTAACGTAGTAAAGGATCCCAGAGATCTTAGCAACATCGCAATATATCCTGTACGAAGTACGAGGAACGTTAACATGCCCCCCCACCCCACCCCACCCCAACCCCAACCCACACTAACACGGCAATATATCCTGTACGAAGTACGAGGAACGTTAACATGCCCCCCCACCCCACCCCACCCCAACCCCAACCCACACTAGAGATCTCAGCAGCGTAGCAACACGTAACGTAGTAAAAGATCCCAGAGATCTTAGCAACATGGCAATATATCATGTACGAAGTACAAGGAACGTTAACATGCCCCCCCACCCCACCCCACCCCAACCCCAAGACAAAGAGCAATACTCAAAAAAGAAGCAAAACGCACGTACGGTTTTCCTGCCGTAGGCATATACATGTACATATACATATACATATACATATACATATACACATACATATACATATACATATACATATACACATACACATACATATACATATACATATAAATATACGTATATGTATAACTATGCATATACATTTACATGTACATATACATATACATATAAATATACATATACATAGACATATACATATACAATCATATACATATACATATACATATACATATACATATACATATACATATACATATACATATACATATACATATACATATATAGGATTCATTAGGATTCTATAGGTCGCCGTTAGTGTTTCGGGCCTGCCGGCTTTAAATTGAACCCCAAGTGCACTGGTACCGTTGATCTCGATGAGGATGATTGCGACTCATCGCCGAGATCGAAAACCAGGTGCGTCTGGGCCTGGTCGGCTTTGCAGTAATGCCGGTTACCCTCTGGTAATTTCGCATGGCTATGGGATTTATAGTGATTTAATGGGATTTGTAGTGATTTAATGGGATTTATAGTGATTTAATGGGATTTAATGGGATTTTATAGTGATTCAATGGAATTTATAGTGATTTAATGGGATTTAATTGGATTTCATAGTGATTCAATGGGATTTATAGTGATTTAATGGGATTTCATAGTGATTCAATGGGATTAATGGGATATACCCTCTGATGAACTAACCGATTGAAAATGTCCATTTATAGTTGATTTACCCATGAAAAAGGCAATTTTCCATAGATTTTTGTATGTTTACCAGAGGGTACCTCTTGTTTGTCAATTAAAATGACGAAAACAGCGAGTTCATTGAAGTTTTCACGGCCGTATTTTTTGGTTGGTATCGACCGGAGTGTTGAAGACCCTAAATGTTGTTCCATTGTACTGTTTGGTTTATTCCCAGTTCATGGATTATGATAGTCCCCAATATATTGGTTAGTATAGCCCCCGAAACAATCATCGACCAACAGGTTTTTTCAACACTGCTCGCCTTTACTGATGCAGCTGCTCCACTATCAGATTTAGCGCTTACCTCCTCCCCAGCATCTTCTTTTAACCACATGGCCAAAAATCTTAGATACCTGCCAAAAAAATCTAAATGTTCAGCTGGCTAGGACTATATAATTTTACGATAGCAAAAGATTCAGTTATACCAACGGTAAAATGAGCGAACCAATTTTAAGCCAATGGTTTCTGGTTAAAATTTTGGCTAAGCCAATGGAATTCGCATTTGTCGACCGAAAAACCCGTCGGCCTGGGCTGAAGGCGATTGAATGGACGAGTCCTGAAGCTGTGGATGCTGGAGGTTTCTACTGAATGGGGATTTAGTGATATGATGAGTATAATGGATGTGATGGATATAATATGATGGATAACAATGTCAAATCACGGCCAATCTTAGATACCCTGCAAAAAATGACCAATTCTTAGTTGGCGAATGTAGATATTCCTATTGAAATCGCAAAATATTCAAGGATTAAACTACCCAGGTCACACCGTGTCGGGTGGCCTGTGGGCGGCGGCGTCAGCGTCAGGACGCTAATATCCCACCCCACCCCACCCCAACGTGCTGTCAACGTAGCATCATGTTGCATCATCAAGGTCGTCCTAGTTGGTGGAACATGGGTTGACAAGGTAGTATCAAGGACGTGGTCGTCAGGACGTTAATATCCCACCCCACCCCACCCCATATATAGAAAAAAACGCACGGCGTGAGCAACTACCCATCCAAGGTTGACCTGGAAATGACTGAAGTAGCAACAATTGGGATGTATATACTGTACAACAATTGGTTTATGATAGCTAAGTTGGCAAACATACCTCCAATAATTCTTGGGTGTACGGCATATCGAACTAGTATTCATGGGGCTAACATAAACCAACAAACATTGCACCGGGCACCAACTTGTATGGGGATATCATTTATGAATAGGGATATGTTTGGGATATCAAACTCCCATCACTAATGAAAGCAACTATTTTGTGGGGATATAATGAGCATGTCATGGGGATACAATGGGATATCTTTGAGGATATCTTTGAGGATATAGTGGGAATGATGGGGGCGGTTCAAGAACATACCAAGTCGGTGAGGATTTTTTTGTATTCCAGGATGAAAAGTAGAACTGGTTGATCTATATATATATACATATATATATATAGCCAATATCAACTTCTTGGGCAGCTGAGGCTGCGCTCATGGGTATGACCATGGTGAAATCAACCCCATAAGTTGGGATAGTTTGCCCCTAAAACTATCGTGAGAAATATCCACTTAAAAAACTCGAACCGCACTTCCAAGTTGGCGGCTTCAAACATACAAACCAAACATATGTGTATATATATATATGCTTATATCTATTTATATATATATATATATGTGTGTGTGTTGCGGTAAACCCAATGTCATAAGCCATCCCCAACCAAAATCACCATCGTTATGGGTGCGATTGAAACCATCCCCAAATGCTAGTTGTTTCAAAAAAACTCTGGGGATCCTTCTGGACTATCAGAGACTATCACGAATCGTTCCCCCTAGTAACTCAGGGCACCCCCAAGTTCGAAGGAACCCAGGGCCCAACTGCCCCGATCAATTACGGTAATCTACTGTATATACATTCTTTGATAGTTCATTCATGAATGGTCTGTATCTGTATAAGTGTACCATAATGTATGTATGTCTGCCTGCCTGCCTGTCAGTCTGTCTGTCAGTCTGTGTGTATGTGAGTATGTGTGTGCGTGCGTATATGTATGTGTGTGTATGTGTCTGTGTGTATGCGTGTGTATGTGTGTGTGTATGCGTGTGTATGTGTGTGTATGTGTGTGTGTATGTGTGTGTGTGTCTGTGTATATGTGTGTGTGTGTGCGTATGTGTGTGTGTCTATGTGTCTGTATGTATGTATGTCTGTCTGAATGTATGTATGTATGCATGTATGCATGCATCATGCATGCATGCATGCATGCAGGTAGATAGGTCGGTAGGTAGGTAGGTAGGTAGGTAGGTAAATATATACACAATACGCATATGTGTTTTAATACACACATGTGACATATGTGTATATAGACGTATGTACAACATATACCAACATACTATAGAGACAGAGATGGTGAATCATCAGATCCGCCTGCGTGTGACTGGAGGTCTCTTGGCTTGGCGCGGAAGGTGCTGGCAGCTCCTCGACGGCAAAAACCACGGGGATTATGATGACTAACCCAATGATTTAATGATGATTTATGTCTATATATATATATACATGTGGGTAAAACAATACTAAACCATCCCCCAAATCACCATTAATAGAGGGTATGTGTACCATTCCCACATGGGTGGGTTATGGCATTGTTGTACCCACATTACATATATTCATTTCAATAATTCGTATAATAGATGGTTAAAATATGGTCCTTCAAATCATGGACGATTGTTTAATGATATGTTTTAAATGACGCTTCATGAGGAATATGAGAGAGATTCCCCATCTATAGATGTTAGTCCCCACTATCCCATCCATAAGGCGCTATGTTTATTATCCCCATTATCATCATAACATAGATACTCAGCTTCCAGTTATGGATTTAGGGTACCAGACCCAGGTGATGAAAAACAAGGGAATCGGCTGACTCGCCGCCTTGCAACTGTTGACATCTTTTTATTCTTAATTCTCAAGATGAAATGCTGAAAACCCAGTGTTTTTTTACATGGTTCATCTTTCGAAGTCATTTAGAGAGTATCATTTTGTACTGCGTGGGCCAATCAAAATGAAGGAACTGGTATAAATTGCAAGCGAAACTATCATTTTTTGATCACATTGGGAAAAAAACTTTGGAAGTGCCTGTTGATCTAACAAATGACATGCCCAAACGGCTTAGAAGAATCTTTTCTCAACTCTGCCACAAGCATTCGGGAAGCTCTTCCGAGATGGAACTTGTGATGGAAGCATTATGCCTCCACTGGAAGGTATGTTCAAGCGTGGCAACTTACAGAAACATCAAATCAAACACATGCTTGCGTACGTTAAAAACATGTGCAGGCGTAGCAACATATCAAGCAGATGCTAGTGTACGTTAAAAACATGTGCAAGCGTAGCAACATATTCTCTTACCGTAGCATGCCAAAGACGCTATTAGCCCCACCTCACCCCACCCCATCTCTAACATAGCATCATGTAGGTGTGCAAGTGCCAAGGGACATTATGAGCCCCACCCCACCCCACCCCATCTCTAACATTGCATCATGTAGGGTCATGTTGGTGTGCAAGTGCCAAGGGACGTTCTTAGCCCCACCCCACCCCACCGTACCATGACCGAATCCTACCTTGCACAACATCGAAGTATACAGTATACTATAGCAAAAATTGACAACCCTTCTGGGGCGGCGAGTCAGCCGATAGCCAAAAACAAGAGGTTCGCCCGAACAGTGCGACACACGCACCCCAAAACTGGCCATGAAAATATAGGGAAATGGATGGAAAATTGATGGATGTGGTATGTTCCATAAATGGGGGTACCCCAAAATGGATGGTTTATGATGGAAAATCTCAGATCTCATTAAAATGGATGATTTAGGGGTTACCCCCATTTTAGGAAACCCCCATGTGTGTCCCTGATTTTTCTAAACACAAAACCCTTTTTTGTGCCATGGTCAGAACAAGGAGCGCATAAATCCCTATTGAAATTTTGATGACCATCCCCAAAAAAATCATGGGCTAATCTAATCCAACTAACTTGAACATAGCCCAGATTTGTTTAATTGTCTTGACATGTTTTGACTAGCCACATCAGCGGCCAAAATTCGCGCCTCATTCAAATAGTGCCGGCAACTTTCACCGACCTGGCCAAGTCTAGAGAACAAGTGGGTCGGGATCAAGCTTCAACCCCAAAAAATCATGGGAAAACTGCTGAAAGCACCTTCAAATGCTACCAAAAAAATGGCATGCGATGTGAATTGGGTGTGCTTGAAAATTGGGTCTACCCCCATTTTAGGCCATAATCATGGGGATACGTATGATCAACATTCATTTTTGGGGGGAGCCATATTTTCAGACAAACCCAACTACTGTTGTGGTTGGGAACAACTACCAAGTGGTACATGAGTCGGGACCAATGGCTGGTCATTTAAGGGCCATTTAGCATGATAATCACACATGGCAATGGAAAATCCCCTATCCATTGTTGTTTTTGTTGATGGGAAAATCTGTAAAACCCTGGACTTTCCAGCAAGCCGGCCGGAGCTGAGGGTAGGACTCAGAATGAGCCAGTGACTCATTTAGCATTTTGTGATCCAAGCCGGTGCACTGTGAGCCAATCCCATCAGTACTCCATCACTACTTCAGTGTGTTGAAAATGGCCATGGGGTGAAGTAATCCAATCCCCCTTCATATTTTATCGACCCCGCATGGTTCTAAAGAATTCTAAAGATATGTAAAGTAAACCATTAAACCATGAAATGAAGTTTCTTTTCTTGATATTAATCCTGCGCAGGTTGTTTCTGTAGCTACTTCTCTACTTTTTTAGATAGGAAAAAATGATGCTAAAAGATCTTGGATGGCAGGTTTTAATATGAACGGGCGAAGGGATCAACAAATTTTCAGATGGACAAGCTGTCAATGGGAATTTCAGGATCCTAAAATGGTCCGTGACGGTACCATGTTCCAGGCCATATTTCGTGGGGATATTCCTGTGCTTAGCCCTTACAAGCTGGCCTGGATTTTTTGTGCTAGGTACCTCCAATTTTCCTCGGTTCCGGAAATGAGCAGTGTTCAAAATCAATCCGTGTATCATTCCATTGAATCCTGGTTGGTTTTTTTCGGCATTTTCCGATTGGATTATTAGAATCCCCAATCTGGTTGGTGGTATACCTACCCCTCTGAAAAATATGAGTTCGTCAGTTGGGATTATGACATTCCCAATATATGGAAAAATAAACAATGTTCCAAACCACCAACCAGATTGGGTAGTATAATCCCCTACAATCATCAACCAACAGGGCTTTTGAACACTGCTCAAATGGCCATTGAATCTGCACTGCTTCACGGCACCTTGGGTATGGATTGCACGCACCCCAATCCGCCAAAGCTCCCAGAGGTGTAACCTGCAACGTCGTCCTGCGCAAGATCCCATAAGCCGCTAAGCCATTTGTAACGCCGAACTCAAAACTTATGATTTTTTCTGAACCTTAATGGACCTTTATGAACTTTCTAAGCCATGTGTAAGCCATTTTTTGGCTAAACATAGAGAAACAAATGATAGACATCGGGATGAGCAGCTCAAAAGATATGTGGCGCAAACTTTGCGTGGCATGCCAGGCTGGGCAACTACTAGAGCCAAAATTTGATCGATCCGAATCTGGGGTGTAAAATTCGTTACAGGATGGTGCCCCCCAGTGACGTGAACCTTGGTTTGTACACCCCATGAATACCATAGCTATCTAGTTCGTTATGTCGGGGTGAGGTTTATTAAGAAACCGCCAATCCAAAGGATCAGATGGTGCCAATGAAGGCCGCAGTGCAACGCACTGATTTTGACATGGACGCGCGCCAGGATGACTCAAGGCGGCTCTTTGATCTCCTCCTTGTCCTCCGGCTGAGGGATGCGCTTGTGGAGGTACTCCATGACCATCTCCTGACGAATTGAGCTGATAGTCATAAACAGCGCAATCATCAGTCTTCGCCATGATCTCTGTGCCTTCTCCGCCTTTCGACCACCAGCCGGGCTCTCCTCCAAGTTGGCATAAGTCTTGCGCAGGCGGTGCATTCCGGCGAGCACAGAGACACAAAATGCTCGGGATCAACTTCTTGAGCATCTGTGCAGGCTTCGAGGTAGGCGAAGCATTGGATGAAGTGGCAACAAAACGAAGAAATTGGAGAATGCTGAAAACGCTCAAAAACATTGGATTCTCAAATCGCACTGCCTTCCCAAAATTCTGTTTGTCGACACTTGACTGCACTGGTTCATGAAGTTGTAAACCAAAAGTTGGAGATTGATCATGAAATTCCACCAAAATGTCATCATCACGACTCAAATCAAAATGTTGCACTCTGTGCCCTGCATCGGTGGTTCCCAATGGCACCTGCAATTGCTGTTGGCTGCTGACGGCTGGCATTGGTGAAGCCTGCAGTGAACCATCGTGCACGGAGAAAACAGCTGTTGGGTAGAAGATGATGAAGGTGGGGTACATGAAACTGGAGGGAACTCAACATCATGGATGATGTTAAATTGGTTCAAAGAGCATTCATCGCAAACTGCGGTCTGTGATGTCAAAGTGGCTGACCCATCATGCTGCGGTCCATTTTGACTGCGGCTGTTCCACTGTCGATTGGCAATGTTTGCCCATGACGATGAGGGTCTTGTTGACCCAGAAGACGATGAAGCGGTTGAAACAAGGCTATTGAAGGCCATCCGGCAAGTGTCATCTGCTGGCATCGAAATCCCTTGAGTTCCATCTTGTGGCACAGGAACATGTGCAGCTGAAGCAAAGATCACTGATCCACTCCAAGGCCCCTCCAAACTGCGAGCTCCAGAGGAATGTTGCCAAAGATCTCGGATGACCAAATGGCGACCATTTCGAAGGTAAGCATGCGTCACCCTCTGAGGTTCCAGTGCTGATGGATCTTGTATTCCACATTCCATAGGCATCACCATAGACCAAGGCTGGGCTGGCAGGTCTTTCAAATGGTGAAGTGTGTCGCCCACCATCAACCAAACCTTCACGATCTTTTGCTCCACGTCAGCTGCATAGGCAATGGCTTGTTACGGCAGTAGAAAAGGATCAACATCTGGATCTCTGCGAAGGTCTCGGGGCAAATCCCAACCTTCATCAGCAAACTCCATGATGTTGATAGCCCTGTGCTTGGTCGGCAATCGCCGCATGTCTGTGGATCCTCCATTTTCCAAAATGAGTTGGTTGTGCTTGCAATCTACCATGGCTCCTACGCTCTCCAGCCAACTGATGGGTAACATGGGTGGTGTTTGGTGATCAGCTCCATCTTGCAAAACAGTGAAATGAAGTGCCCCATTAGTTTTGGCCACTCCAATTGGAACATGAGCTGTCCCCTTCACCTTTGCCGCACCTCCAATGCCACCAGCTCCAGGAAGAGGTCCATGTTGTTGCCAAAGCACACAAAGTCCTTTCTGAGCCAACTCATTCTCCAAGCGTTCCATCGCTCGATGTCCAATCACTGCCTCCTCTGCCGCGGTGTCAACCAAAGCTTCGAAAGGTTGGCATTGGACTGCATGGAAAATCATCACTCTGCATGGCACTGATTCATCATCCAACCGGGCTGCCTGGGAGGCAAACATGAAAACTTGTGGTCCCGTTGAAGTCATCAAAAACTGTTTGCGCGGGGCCATAGTTGACAAGCCACCCTTTTGTTTGCCATCTTGTTTCAAAGGACAGTCTTTGGAGATATGGCCCAACTCATCGCAGTTGAAACACCTGGTTCTTGAAATCAAATCATCTTCATATGACTTCACAACTTTGGAGCCCTTGTTGAATTTGCCCTTTCCCTTGCCAACATGGTAGGGTTTGTAGGAACCTTTCCCCTTGGTTTTCCACCACCATCTCTGCCTCTTTTCACAAAGCCTCGCTCATTGCGACGTTTTTGCAGTTCACGTCGAACATCTCGGTAAGCAGAATGGTATTCCATGATTTCCATTGACTCCTGTTCAGAAAAGTCCTTGTCCTCGAAGTAGATGAAAGGATTGCCCTGCTCATCCTGTGAAGACACTCATCATCTGTATCGCCCTCCACATGATTCTCGTCATATTCATGGGCCTCCCCATCTACCTGAGCATCATTGGAGTCATGGAAGGTGGCATAGTTCTTGATAGACCCTTGAGCTCTATTGAGCATCTCCGGACGGTCCAAAGTTCTCAACAAATTAGCAATATCCTCAAACGTCCGCAAAATGGGAGATCGCAGCATCAAAAGCTCCCTTTGCAAATCGTTCACGTTGCTATGTTTCAAAAGCACCCGTCCAGCTAAACGTTCACTAATCTTCTCGCCCATCTGCATCTCCATCTCCTGCAATGAAATCTGTTTTGCGGCAACATATGAGGTGAAGGTTTCAGACTTCTGCCTTTCACCCTCATACAGAAACCTGTCAGAATGGCTGAATAGCCCTGAGGTGAAAGCAACACCTGCGTAGGGACAGTGTCTGCTATCCTTCTCGGCTGAGAGTTCTCCTGAAAACTTTGCAGCAAACGGATTCCCCTTTTGTTCATTGGCAGGGTCGTCTCAAATTCCCACAAAGCTAAAACTTTGAGCCACGAGCGCAGTGTTTCCGCATTTCCATTCCACGTCGGAATTGGTTTCTTCTCTCCAAGCTGATGCAGAGCGCTAGCAATGGCAGTGTTTGTAGGCTGGCCGTCAGGCCCCAGCTCCCCAAAGGTATTTCCACTTGGTGGAAAAGGTCGTGCACCCCCAAGCAAATCAAAAGCTGAGCTCTTCGGTCGATTATCACCACCCATAGGCTGTCCAGTAGCATTGCCTAAAGCAGAAGCGAATGAAGCAGCATTGAATCCAGTTGGAATACTTGGTTGTCCAGTCTGAACTCCAGGGTGGCCATATTGCATCGCCTGCATCGGATTGTGTTGGTTCCCAAAACTTAAACCAGCAGGTCGAGAGGACGAAGAGCACGGAATTGAAAAACCTGGGTTAAACATAGTTGAAGCCTGGCTGATGCATCGGCATTGGCAGCACTTGGAATTGTAGCTCCAGTGGGTTGACCAGCGAAGTTTCCAGACATACGTTGCCGATACTCAGCCCAAGGGTCACTCATCTGTCGCAACCACGCTCCGCTCACCACTGTCGGGGTGAGGTTTATTAAGAAATCGCCAATCCAAAGGATCAGATGGTGCCAATGAAGGCCGCAGTGCAACGCACTGATCTTGACATGGATGCGCGCCAGGATGACTCAAGGCCTATGAGAAACAACGGCAGCGGAAGGAAATCAAATGAATCAAATTTGACTCAACTGTTCCTGCATGTCATCAGTTATATCAACTTATATCTACCATAAACATCCATAAACCAGAGTTAATTCAGCCACAAACATCAACCAACTGCGAGCTCGACTGGGGGGCCCATCCTGTATGATATCTGTATGGTAAACTAACGTTGAACTAGCTCCCGAGCCGCCTCTACCCTCACCAGGGGCTCCGACCTTGATGGCAAACAGCCCGATGGTGGGGACTTAAGGGAAAGAAAAACATCCCAAATGGAGAATTCAAAAAGGATTCAGATCGCAAAAATACCTTTTGCCTGGCAAGGTGATATCAAAAACTCTGATGTTTGATGATATTAGACCCAATTTATTTTCTAAAAGGACAATTTGCAGACTAGATATGAACCTCCTGGCCACAAAAATCCGACAACACCGCAACGCTTGGCGCTTGGGGACAAGACTAAGCATCTGAAAAATCTTGAAAAAGTGCATCTATGAATCATCTATGTGCATCTTCTCTCCACCTTTTTCAGCCCAAGCTTCCGAGGATCAGCTGCCTTTGGATACACCGCATGGCTTGAGCTCATGAAGCCATGATTCGGCCCGACGGCTGGGGGGGCTGTCCTGATCAAGGGATTCGGTTTGTGTTTTCCTTGGGTCGCCCTTAATGGGTAAACATCACCCAAGATCCAACATTGGAAAACAACATGAAAACATCTCTGGTTTTTCTGACCATCGCATCCCGAAAAAAAAATCATGTGACTATGGTGACCATGTGAATGCTAACAGATTTCATTAAATTCATTAACAGCTAACATCCCTGGATCAAGAACCCTAACATCATGGAACGATCGATTTTGATGAACAGCGAGGGCTACGCTGGAAGCTTGAGAAAGGATGCTGCCACACTCAACGGTGACGCCGGCCCTTCGGGATGCCGCGACGTAACGTCTCGCTCGCCCCTTTTGACAGTCGCGGTGCCGCCCAGTACGCCAGCTGCAAGTTTGAGAGTCTGAGAATGTGCAGAACATACGCTGCCAATAGGAAATCTCCATGTGAGGTTGAAATCCCAGCCCTTTTTGCTCGGTCTGTGGTTCATGATATCCCAAATGGTGCCTATAACTGAACCAAATCTGACCAGAAGATAGTTAGAAGCCAATCATAGACCGTCGGGGATGGTTCACTCGAAAAAGGCCCGGTCCAGGATTGCCTGGTGATGCACATCGGAATAGGCGCATGTATGTAGCATGGATCTGTAACCATCGCAAATGGTGGATATGATCGGGATATAGGAGAGATATCACCAACAAAATAACAAGTGATATGGACTGAAACAGTGGATTCTGGCTAAATTGTAATAATTCATTCACTAAGCATCACTAAGCTGTACAAATAGATTAAATGTTGGGCTATTGGAAGATGATTCCCCGCAATCTAACCATCACTCCAGTGACGTCATGACATGGGGTAATCATTATTATTAATTCATCCAGAAAATATTGTGGGCGTGAAGACTGTTCGAAATTTCACAGTTTGCCGTGGCCCATTTAGTTCGATTACCTATTCATTTACGATAGCAAATTGTTTATTACATCAATTGTCAAGGTGCAATGTTTTATTTGGTACCCTGCGTCACTAAACTATATACAAATACATTTGTATGTATAGCAATAAGTACAGAAATATGTGTATGTACTAATATATATATATATATTTATTTATTTATTTACATAAAATATTATAAACATGTATATATATATATATGTGATATCATATTATATATATATCATATATTCATATATATATATACATACATCATTATACATCCTGTACAGTAATATTTAGCGGTAAAATATGTGTAGTATACAGCTCACTTTCCGGTGCCTCAGGTGATTCCTCTTGAGACAGCTTCTCAGCCAGCTGACGCACCACCTGGATGTGTTCACCATGACAATGGGGAGTTTATGGGAGTTTACTGACAGAATTTATGGATAAAGAACGCAATTTGGCCAGGGAAAAAGAAGTTCATCAACAACACCAGGATTTCACCAAGGGGAATGAAGCAAACAATCGTTTTAATCAAGGGATGTCGGGGAGTGTGTGTTTTTTGAACAAAATACGTCCAAACACACATATGTTTTTTGCAAGTGGAAAAGATTGGTGGAGCAACAGACCAAAAACCCAAAAGCCCACTTTTGTGGGCCATGTTTCTACCACCCAAGGTAGAATTCATATGTCAATATACCATATGTTTACACAGTCACAATTGTTTTCATGGATTGTAGAATTTGGGGTCCTGGTGGTGTGCCTTTCTGGTGCCTTAAAAAAAGGGTGGCCTCCAGTTTTGATGCACAAATGAGCACGGACCACGAGAGGTAGATAGTTTCCTGAGTTTTAGAATCCGTAGCCGGCTAAGTTTGCCGACTATATCGTTCGTTCAATTTTTTTCCAGCAGTTTGCCTCCATTCAAACAAGTGCCATGTCAAATAGAATTGGCTCAAGGGAAATGTCCATTGGAACCCTTCTTTTTTTTGATGGTAAAATATCCAAAAACAAACAGGGGAAAAAACATCGACCAGCGAACAGGTCCAGCCAGCAGTATCCATTGCCTCTGCCTCATCCTCTTCTTCTTCCATCTCTACCTGGCTGGTAATGCTACGGTGACCCCAATAAGGGGATCCAAGAGGTTGCATCGGAGGCTCCTTCAAATGCTGCGCGTTCTGACACCATGATGTTCTGTGCGCAAATGGTTCGTTATTGCCGCTATTTCCTTGATGATCCTCGATGGGGTCGATCATTCTGGGTCTATCCATTTTGGCTCAGCCACGCCCAGTGGGGCCTCGTATCTGGTAGACGGCATGCTGTAGTCCGCTGCCGACTCCTTCAAAGCATCAAGCTGTCGGACACGGGTCAAAATTAGGTACCCCTCTGATCATTTAACATGGCGTCAAAACACCATCTTTAGCAGCTAAATGCCTATCAAAATAGCGGGTCTTCCCATATTTTCCCATCTATTCCCGACATCTTCCTATGATCTTCCCATTAGAAGCTCCATGTTTGATGAGGATTCCCCGGCCATCCAAACACCACGGGCCATCCTTTCGATAGGACGAATAGGCTGGGCCATAACCATGGACTGTGCCGTAGGCAGACAGCTGACCTGCCGGATCTTGGGATTCAACTTGATTCAACCAACAATTTTCTGGGTGTAAAATGACCGATTTTGACCATGAAAAATGCTGAGAAATCACCAGATTGAATCAAAAATATGGGGGATAGGATTGGGATAGGATTGGGGGATTGTGATATTTTTATGGGGAAATGATGGTTTTTCATGGGAAAAAAAACAAACAAAAACCACCTGGTGGATTTTTCAGCGCATCATGCGCATCATGGCGGTGGTTCGTCCCAGTGGATCCATGGCCCACACAAAGCCACAGATCCTAACATCGCCAAGGGATGTAGGATAAAAATTAATGGGGATAGAATGGGATGTGTATAAAAATTAATGGGGATAGAATGGGATGTGTACATTACATATATATATATATTATATATATATTATATAATATATATATATAATATATATATGTGTATATATGTATATATATGTATGTATATATATATATGTATATATATATATGTATGTATATATATATATATCTTCGACCATGAATGAACCAGAGATATTTGGGATTATTTGAGGCATCTGAGAATCGAGGATAAGCCCTTAAAGTGGCAATGTTTTAATAGGGAAAATAGGGAAAATGATGATGAACTCGTGGATTTGGTATATACGAAACAAAAATGCTGGGCCTTGTCACCACAAATGGCTGGTCATAGCTGTCCAAGACTTTTTCAGCTTGCAACTGCGCAGGATTTTTGCCGCTCTTCAACTTTGTCAGGAAATGTGTTTTACACATCAACCCAAACATCTCAATCTGGTTCATCAAATTGCTTGGGTGAAACTGCTTATATTCAAAATCATGGATTACCCACCGGTAAACTAACATAGCGACAATGACCCATTTAGTTCGATGATTTACCTACTCAAAAATGGTGATTTTCCCTGGCAAAACTGTTAGTTTACCATAGCGGCTATGGATACTCCATTTTCTTGCTTCTGACATTGCTTTACCAACATTATACCCAAATTAAGTTAACAATGGATTAAGCCATTACCCTCCAATAAACTAACATAGCTATTGAACATGGTCTATTTATGGTTGATTTACCCATTGGAAAGGGTGGTTTCTCATAGTTTTTTGTATGTTTACCAGGCCGGGTAAATGATGATTAAACTATCCAAACTTGCACACTTCATCTGTTGGTGTTAGCTTCCTCCACCTGTTGCCACCGGCCTACGTGATTCCCCTGGCTCAACGGAAGTTGCGCCTTGTGCAACGGACCCAAAAAACATGTTGGAAAAGTGGATGAAACTGGAATCAAATTGGAAAAAATTGGAAATGGGAAATTTTGACAAAAAATGGAATAAAATGATAACTGAGAAAGTATGAGAAAGTGAGATTTTTCGAAACTGGACTACCCACCCTGACCATCTCACTGCCCAGTTCGTACGCTTTGGAATTCTGTGAACGACAAAACTGGATGCGGGCATCCACATCCCAGCAGAGCAACAGGTGTGCACAGTCAATTGTTGATGTTGTTGATGTTGTTGATGTTGTTGATGTTAGTTCCTGTAGTTTTAGTTTGAATTACCAGCAATTTTGAAGGGAATCGACTCCAGAGTTCTTTTTCGTTGCTGCCTGAAATCCGAGCAACTCGTGCAGTGAATTGGCATTGATGTAGCAGTGATTTGGCTATGGATGAACATCCCATCAGACCCATCACATGTGTTGGCAGTGTTGTCAGATGGCTATGGATCAATACCTATACATACCATTTTTAGTGGGTTATTCACATCCATAAATCCCAGCTATTTTGATGTGAACAAAAAAGGGGTACTATTGGTTTTGACACACTGCCAGATGTCAGTTTTTTTGGTGCTGCCCATGCCACATCCCCAGGTCACCACGGTCACCACTTTCCACGGTCAGGGGATCCACGCATCGTCCATGAATTTGCTGCGGATGCCACTCTGTACCTTGCGCCGAATCCTTGGAAGACGGTGGAACAACGACGTCCCAGCTGCTGTAGATCGAACCATGGGACATCAAAATCCCTCGTGGAAAAGTTCCCAGCTAGTCATGTTTGATTACCAGCGGGTAAGTTGGTAAGATATCCCATTACACATACATATGTATATACAAATATGTATGTGTATAAATATATATATATGTATATATATATATGTATATGTGTATATGTATATATGTATATATGTATATATGTATATATGTATATATGTATATATGTATATGTATATGTATATGTATATATATAATACTCTATATTATATATATATTATATTAGTATTTCCATTAAATCCCATGAAACATCCTACCGCGCGTTGAGCCTCCCCACGCCGTCCGATTGAGTTCCTGGGCCCAAGGAGGTGACCGTTGTGTGAGGGACCCCCTCGCTGGATGGCTTTTCAACGGACTTAGGAAACCTCCATATACCCTCTGGTAAACTACCATAGCTATGGAAAAATCACC